TTGAACAAAATCGAATAGAATAAAACGTCTGCTTGTATAAGTATCCAGCTCATCCTCCTGTTTATATTGCACTTAATACTAACCATGAGGACCATGCTGGACTTGTGATCCTGTGGTCCCGGGGTCGATCCCAGGCGCCGGCGAGAAACAATGGGCAGAGTTTCTTTCACCCTATGCTCCTGTTACCTAGCAGTAAAATAGGTACCTGGTTGTTAGTCAGCTGTCACGGGCTGCTTCCTAGGGTTGGAGGCCTGGTCGAGGACCGGGCCGCGGGGACACTAAAAGTCCCGAAATAATCTCAAGATAACCTCAAGATAACCATCGTACACATATTGACGTGAAAGGCAATTAGAAGGTAGAATTCGGTACCATTGAACCGGGAGAGTTTATGTATTGACGCTAAGAAAATTTAACCTTCCCTCCCCTAGCCTTCCTAGGCCTAATACACGCTCTGTGAGGCCTAGTATAGTACATATATGTGATATACTAGGCCTAGGAATATGTAAGTTTGGTTTTTAGTTTGAGTTTTGTTGTTGTCGGATTATATAGTGAATAGTATCAAAATTCTACTATCGAGTGGTCCATTACGTCTATGTACTCACGATGGTCCACACAAGGGGGGACCTTGACCCCCCCCCCCCCGGAAGCAACACAAGATATGAAGGTAACCACATAGTTATAAAAAGTACTGTCTAAATATGAGGCTGGGTCGAAGTACATCTATTGTGGGGTAACACACTGGGTGTATCGCATACACATACAGGGTGTACCCCCATACGTACCTCAGGGGATCTCTGGTGTGTGTCGTACCTGGAGGAGGAGTGGTGGATAGGAGGAATGTGTGATAGTAGGAAGAATTGTGGGATAGGTGGAGGAATTTGAGGATAGGGAAAATGAGGGGATATAATATATAGGAACTGGGTCGGATTGTGGGGGTGATGGGAAAGGGGGGGTACATAGGGCTCTCTCTTCTCCCTCGCCTGATGGGAAGAATGGTGGTGTTTCCTGTCAATGGCAGGGCTGGTGCAGCATACACGGTAATTAAGGATAATGCTTTCCAACGAAGAAATGAAGAAAAAGCGCGTATTGAGAACTATGCCTCTTCAACGCAAGCAGAGCTAACTGCCATTGTTATGGCGTTAAGGTTTCATGAACGGAACACTAATGGTGCAGTGATTTGCACTGATTCAAAAGCAGCACTTCAAAGCCTGACTAAAAATCGGGCAGAAAATCTTGCAGTAGTCGCTGAAATTAAGAGAGCTGTGAGAGTACTTACCAATCAGGGAAGAATCGTCAAGTTTCTGTGGATCCCCTCCCATGTTGGAATATGTGGGAATGAACGAGCAGATGTACTGGCTGCTGAAGGCGCTGAAGGAGACCATATTGAATACTTTATACCCAAGACTCTACTACAAATTAGAGGTATTGTCAGGCAACATCACCGTGACAAGGTAACTGAGGAAAGGAGGATAGAAACACAAACCAGTGAATCTGTACGATGGTACAACATGGTTGCAGCTGGCAATCCCAATCATTATGGCCGAAGAGGAGGACGCGGGAGAATCAGTAATAGCGAGAATCCGTCTGGGATACAAATATCCATGGAGATACGGAATGGAAGCGACTGTTGATCAGCGAAGTTGCAGAATCTGTGGTGAGAGTGATGGACACTGCCTTGACCACTATCTACGTGAATGTGAACACCTGAGAGACATCAGAAGTATGTGTAGAATAATAAACCCCACATTGTTTGAGTTAGGAAAACACTATTTGTCAAATATTGATACTGTTCTTAAAAGATTTCCCCATTTTGCACCCGCAAGATAATGTAAGCTTTTAAGGGTTGACAGATGTTAAGTCAACTGATGTCAAATAAGATCTTCTTATTTGAGGAGCTGTTCACTTGAGACAGTTAAGCAAGTCCCAGCTGTGTCTGGGTACAAGTGACAGGATGAACAACCCAGCGGGTTTTCTTCCTTTTGGGGAGTGATGTACATGCTGCTATGGCGGTATGTCCACTCACAAGATGAGTGGCGCTGCCCAATAAACTCGCCCCTCGGGGCAAAATTTTAAAAATTTAAATTTAAAAATTTCGTGTCGCCTTGCTGAGTGATGGAGAGAAGAATGGATGTGATAACAACACAAAAGACAATAGGAAGTGTGGTGGATCCTGGCCAGCACCAGCCAGCGCGCCTCCTTCCCTGGGACACACGACACCCCTACCTTCTCTCTCTCCCCCTCCCTTCTCTCTCTCCCCCTCCCTTCTCTCTCCCTCTCTCCCTTCTCTCTCCCTCCCTCCCTCATGCTTTCCCAGTGTGGGGTGTGGCCGGGAGGGGGAACACCTCCAGAGATCGAGGCATATACGAGGCTGCGAGAGTAGAATAACTCGCTAAATCATCAACGGATAACCAACAGATAAAGAGGTGCTTATATTAGCAGTAGGGGATGGGACCAAAGAGCGCCAGCCGCTCCCGAGATCCTATTGGCATCCCTGGCCAGGTGAGAGGCCTCCCCAGGCACGGCAGGAGTGTATAGAAGTGTATTTCGGCTGATAATCTGCTGTTTGTTAGCTGAGTGATGGTGGGGGAAGCGACTCCCCGAGGCTGCCCCCCACAAGTAAACCAGACCCGACCGGTCTCCTGGCTGTGGCGCACTACACACTCAGGGTCAAGGGCGCCGCCTCTCCAAGGCCTGGAACTCCGGCCTCCGCCTCTCTTCCAAGGCTGGAACTCCGGCCTCTGCCTCTCCTGCAAGGCCTGGAACTCCGACCTCTGCCTCTCTTCCAAGGCCTGGAACTCCGGACTCTGCCTCTCCTCCAAGGCCTGGAACTCCGGACTCTGCCTCTCTTCCAAGGCCTGGAACTCCGGACTCTGCCTCTCCTCCAATGCCTGGAATTCCGGCCTCTGCCTCTCTTCCAAGGCTGGAACTCCGGACTCCGCATTCTCTTCCTTATTGCTTTACCATAATTGCTGCCTATCTTATTGCTTACAGATATTATGGCTCGCGCTAAAAAGGGCTCCGGCTCAAAATAAGGACTTAGGTCCTTATTTATTTGGTCCACCTGAATTTAAAACCTTCAGTATAATCATATAGCTAACCTAACAAAATACAATAATTAGAGAAAAAAACAACAACCCTTACCTCTGGAACAAACAACCCTTAACTCTCAACAAAGATACAGATTACTAGTTTTTTACCTCAGTAAAATTAATAAACTTGCTGAGAAGCATACAGGCATGCAATAGGAGTTCAGTGCACTCCTTCACTTAGTGTATATTAACTAATAATAGTACTACAAGCCACTCAAGAATTACCACCAAACCTCCACTTGATTCCGCCTCTCCACCAGCCACTAATGGCTACGTCTGATGGTGGCGGGTGTGGCCACGAACACGATATATTTAGTAAGGTTACACAATATTCCCATTACACAAAACAGATACGTACAGGAATCTAAACAACATACTTCAAACTGGTCAATAACACATGTATCGAAAATAATATTCTTTCAGGGGGAGCATTTACGGTTCAGCTGCAGTGACCAGCCTGCCTGAAGCAACATGAAATCGTTCTCTGTGAAATACCTGCCTGACACAGGCACGTGTGTGGACACACATGCCTACCTCTCCTTACACCATTAATGAACAATAATTGCAGTGTGTATATTATATATATATATATATATATATATATATATATATATATATATATATATATATATATATATATATATATATATATATATATCTCAGGAGTATGCAACTTGATGACAGTATACACAATCACGTAACTACTTACACAGCATCAATGTAATTTTCTACTCAGTAGAATAGCGTAATATGAAGGTAGAATCAAGCTCAGAAACTTTCCAAACCTGACTATGCAATATAATTTTATACCGTTATGGACTAGTGTCATCACAAGGTTATGTACCACCTTACCTGCCACGATCAGGGCCTCTTGACGGTACCTTGAGCTGGTTCCCAGGATCAATGTCGTTGCGGCTCGGTCTCTGACCAGGCCTCCTAGTTAATGGTGTGGTCAACCAAGCTGATGACGCAACCGTCTTCCTAATAGAGCGACGCATTTTAACACATACTCAACCTAAGGCTAAAAATCGTGGTACTGGAAAATGGTAGAGGCTCGCGAAATTGACAGTGACCAGTTTTCTGTTTTGGGTCCTGTGGTAGGTTAGGAGAAGGGCACTTTAGTACGCCAGTTTTTGACGTTGGGAAACCTTAGGAGGGCGGGCTGAGTGAATACTCGGGTCTATGTATGAATCACAGTGTCGAGTTACTCACGTCATGCATCTCACCTGTTCTTCACGTCATGCATCTCACCTGTTCTTCACGTCATGCATCTCACCTGTTCTTCACGTCATGCATCTCACCTGTTCTTCAAGTAGTATTTACTCTATTGTCCCCTAATTTTGTTTCAGGTATGTAATCGTATGCAATTTATATATGAGAAATAGGGGGGGGGTTCCATATTTATATCACATCAGTAAAGTCCCTATTATGGCCAGCTTATTTGTCGTCTAACCAATTTAGATAATTTTTAATAGCAGTTCCTAAAGCAGGTGTAAGGCCGTGAACTATGATGATCCAGTGCAGACCTAGTTTACGAAATATTTATTAATATGGATATGAATTAACCAATTATCAATCACATCTTGAAACCATATTTGTCCACGTGCAGCAACGTAAACAATTATTGTATCAATGTTATTTACAAATGTACTGGATTTCCACAACCTCGATATGTAAATTGTATCAAGTTGATAATTTCATGAAAGTACCACCTGTGTGTGTGTGTGTGTGTGTGTGTGTGTGTGTGTGTGTGTGTGTGTGTGTGTGTGTGTGTGTGTGTGTGTAAGGAGTGTTTAGGATGAAGCAGAATATTAAACACATTCAGGTATCAGAAAATGTGTAAAGATTACCAAGTGTTCTTTTTTAAGCATTTACCAAGTGCCACAATTATTTTTGGTTTCGTTGTTCCAGAGAGAGGAAGAACGTGTTCCAGCTCACAGTTCCAGTGTGAAAATGGTCGCTGCATCCCTAGACGCTGGGTGTGTGACTACCAGAAGGATTGTGAGGATGGCGAGGATGAGCAGCAGTCTTGCCGTGAGTATCTCATCCTTCTTGCTGCCTCATAACCCCGCCCACCCCGCCCATCTCGTGCATATATGATTCCCCACCTATGTCAGACCAGTCATGGAGCATGCGGCGCCAGCATGGAGTTCTTATCTCGTTAAACACACAACAAAGCTGGAGAAAGTTCAGAGGTATGCCACCAGACTAGTCCCAGAGCTGAGAGGTATTGGCTACGAGTTAAGACTAAAGGAGCTAAACCAATTACTGGATGAGAGAAGTAGCAGGATAGACATGATTACTACATACAAGGGAAATATACAGGGCAGACAAGGATAAACTATATTTAGCAAGGAAGCCTAAATGGAAACTTTAGTACCCATATGAGTCTCAAAGTTGATATTACTATTTTGTCAGTGCCAGGATGGTGAACAAACGGAATGCTCCAAGAAGTGGAGTGGTAGAAGAAAACTACATTCATAGCTTTATATGTAGATGTGACATGTATCAAAAAAAGGTGATGGTTCTCTACACACACACACATGGACGGGGAAAGGTCTATGCACACTTAACAAAAGAGGAAGAAGGCTATGAATACACTCACACAAGACCTGGTTGATACCTTGTTGATGGGGTTCTGGGAGTTGTTCTTCTCTCCAAGCCCGGCCCGAGGCCAGGCTTGACTTGTGAGAGTTTGGTCCACCAGGCTGTTGCTTGGAGCGGCCCGCAGGCCCACATACCCACCACAGCCCGGTTGGTCCGGCACTCCTTGAAGGAAACAATCTAGTTTCCTCTTGAAGATGTCCACGGTTGTTCCTGTAATATTTCTGACATGGTCTGACCCTCCCCCTGCCTCCCTTCCCCATGTTCCTACACTTATGGACATGAATGATCTAATTATTGCATTGAGACTGTGTACTGGATTCTTATACTTGTATATCTGGGTTATCAAATAGGTATCAGTAAGCCATTTTGAGTTTAATGAAAGATAATCTCTAACCCTATAATTATCACCTTGTGCATGTGAGCCTTACTTGCGTGTGTCTCGCAGCTCCCCCCGAGTGCGAGAGTGAGCAGTTTGCGTGTGGAGAATACAAGTGGAACCACACCTACTGTTTACCCACCCACCAACGCTGTGACATGATCAATGACTGCACCGACAAGTCAGATGAAGAAGGTTGCGGTAAGTTGAACATTGTTTTGGGGGTTCTATTATATATATACCACATTTCATTGTCCTCTTCGAGGATTGTATTCAATTTTATTGTTATTTGACTTTGAATACTTAAGAGTCTGGGCTAAAACGTATAGCTGCTTTTTAAAGTCATGTAGAACACATACTTCATACTCTTGCTTTTAACACTTGCAAAAGTCGTGTACTTCAGTGCAAACCCTGACCTGAAGCTTTCTAGATGGATGAATAAATCTAGATTTATAGATTTTTTACAGTAATAAAATCCTTCATCACACAAGAAACAAGTATATTTTGACATTGCCAGAGACCAACTATATCTTGTGCAAACATTCTGTTTAAATGTGCATGTGTATACTAGCATGCATGCCCTCGTGGACACAGCAATAATTGTCTCCTTGCAACCCATCTTCCGAATTGACAGTGCGATTTAATACTTAGTGTAATAAGTACGTTTCACTACTGTCATACATAATTGCACTTATGGGGCTGTTACATTTACCTCCCCATTTATTCTTCACGTTTCTTGTTAAGACACCCATAATTTTAGGATGAAGTTTTCAAGTTGAATTTGCTATACACAAGTTTTAAATATTAGGAATTTCTTTTTCAGTTTTATTAAACAATAGAGATTTTATACAAAATTGGAAAATATCCTGAGTTACTTTACAATTTATTGATATATTTCAGTTTTGTTTTATTAGTTTTATAAAACTGTAATATCAATATAGCTATAGGTTAAGTACTAATTGTAATTAAGAAGCAATAAAATGCTTATCTTCAAACACTAAGAAGGTTAGGTGAGGTTGAAGTTTTCTATTCAGCTTTTCAGGTAAACTCAAATATTCACAATATATTTGACAGTACGATTTAATACCAAGTGAAAATAAGTACAATTGCTGACTGCTATAAATAGTACATAATTGCATTTATTTGTGCTGTTACATTTACCTCCCCATTTTTGGAGGACGGGCTGCTCATTTATATGTACAGTACAGTATGTGCATATGTATATATATATATATATATATATATATATATATATATATATATATATATATATATATATTGGGTGAATAAGATCCTAAAGCTTTGTGTTACTTTACAGTGTACCGCAGATGCCTTCGTGAAGACCACAAATGTGGCTCTGGGTTGTGTATTCCACCTACCAAGAAGTGTGATGGTTACTTTGACTGTCGAGATGAGACAGATGAAGCTGGATGCAATAGTACCTCATGTACAAAAGACAAATTCCGCTGTAATGATAAATGTATAGAGAAGAGCCAAAAATGCGACCACAGAAATGACTGTGGCGACAACTCTGATGAAAAAGACTGTGGTAAGTGTTGCAGTACCAAACATGATTTGCAGAATTACATATGTTAGGTGTTTTATATACAAATTTATTATATTACAGCACTTCTAAACCCAATTATTGTTTGTCTCATTTAAATGCCTACTCCACAAATATACTATATATTTTAGTTTTTTTTCTAGCAGTGTACTTTGCTATTTTTCTATTTAAAATCTTGGTTGTAATTGTTAATAAGAGTAGAGTGCTGTATATTTATTGGTTTACCAGCACATACTTGAGTTACAGACCCGCTCCTGTACCAGGTAAGTCCACCACGGGCTCACCATAGCCCGTGCTACTTGGAACTTTTTGTTCTCAGTAGCTGAATCTATAACAATAACAGCACATACTTGCTCCTGGACGGGAGACATCTCCCGTCACGCAGGGTACAGTCGCACCTCCACAGATCTCCAGTATCAGCTCTTGATACTGGAGATGGCTCAAAAGGGCCACCACTTACGGGCTATTCATGCCCGTGCCACCTTTTGGGTGGCTTAATCTTCATCAATCTTACTTGCTCACGTCCTCAGATTTCCCAGCCTGTCACGAGGAACAGTTCCGGTGTGCCAACGCTTTGTGCATCCCTCGTCGCTGGCACTGTGATGGGCACAGCGATTGTCCTGATGGCTCTGATGAACAAAACTGTACGGCCATTGCTTGTCCAGATTCCAAATTTTTGTGTGCCAAAGAAAATCGGTGTATTGAGAAGTCGAAACTGTGCGATAGTCAGAGAGACTGCGACGATGGTTCTGATGAACGAACAGCTTGCTGTGAGTATATATTATACATTGTATAATCATGCATATAAATAGTGTTGTATATGCTATTTCTGTCCATCTCTCCATATTTTTTAGCAATATTTTCTCCTGAAATTTCTCTTCCACAAGGAGCTGGTCTCGTAAAATCCCTTTGATAAATTAACTACAGTACAGCATGTTCAAGATGACAGACGATAGGAATAGATACAAAGATAATACAGTACTTTAACCCATTCTCCTGTTTAGATAGGAGTTTTTGTAACTTTGTGCTCCATAATACAAAGATTTGCCATTCTAAGCAATTAGATAGTAGAACTTGATAGGCTGTGGAGAAAGAATCGCCAGACCCACCTTGATAGAGGGTGCAAAGGAGTGAGCCTGATCCGTGACATGGACTTGGAATGGAGCTTCAGCACTCCATTCGACCCTTGTAGTGAGACTTACAAAGGCGTCACACCCTTCACTGAACCAGAAACCCGAGGTCTCCAAGCAATCATGGAAACAGTGGGTGGCATTGACCTGTTCATAGCTTTCCGAGGCTATGGCCAGTCTATCGTTTATCCTGTGTTGCGGAATGACATTCCTCCAGCAAACATCCATGAACACGAAGTTCTGGCTATGGTATTTGTTCATGCCGTGAGCTATACGTCTCGTGGACATATCAATTATGAGATAGGCCAATCAGGACCACTGTACGGTCTAACCTCTGAAGACTTGGCACCCGAGGCACAGAATAGGTTCATATATACCATTGATCTCCCTTATAAAGGGAGATATGGACTTCTTCATTCAGAGAGTAATATTAGCAGCACTCTGATGGAGACCACTGCCGGTATCATGTGCATGGTCCGTCATATTACTAACACGGGTCACTGTACCAATCCTTAGTAGCAGCCATATGTATAGTTGGTACATATGGCATATGGTTGGTACTAAGGCAGGAGTTACTCCTGGAATCAACATTATTTATGTAAGTAATTCCTAAATCTGAATTTTAAATCCTAATTGGGGATTGAACGCTCACCCTGCAAAAAGCGAGACTGTTACTGTACCAACTAGTCCAGGTAGTAGTTCCCTGGAACTACAGCACAGTACAGTATAGTCAAAATCATGAAAAAAAGAGTAATTGAATCTTGGCATTTTAGTACAGTATATAATTTCTGAAAGACTAAAGATTGACTGTGAATGTATTTACCAGTAGGCCACCATTAATAACTGCCTCATTAGGAATAGGAAGGCTGTGGCTTAAGATGGGCCCCAGATACAAAGATATTATCGTACATTCTTAATGCAGTGAATAAGAAAGATTTTAAATAAATTACCTGTACTCTGCTCTATTACCAGAAATACATAATAGGGTGAAAACGGTGTGTGTGATTAGTAGCCTTGAACAGATATTTCAGTAAGTAATAAAGACGGAAGCATGTATGTAAACATTGTAACATACACACAGTATACTTATTATGAATTAAAAAGTTATTATTATTATTATTATTATTATCAATTATTATTGTGCAAAAATAATAAAGAAACAACATTAACGTGATGTATCTGTGAGGAAATAAGTAGGAGCCATGAGGATGATTCAAACCTCCCAAGCACGCACCTTAAACCACTGTACCAGGATATGCTCAAAAATAATATAACCTAGGATACAACTAAATCCTTTAGGGTTCCTAAAGCAACCAGGAGGCCAGGTCGATGACCGGGCCTCGGGGACGCTAAGCCTCGAAACCACCTCAAGGTAACCTCAAGGAAAGGTAAGCATGCAGCTGATAAGAAATCAGGGTTTCATGCATTACCTGCAGCTTTGAATCCTCCTCATAGCTCCTATTGATTTTCTCATTGATACATCACATTAATGGGATTTCTTTGTACATTTGAAGAGAATTGTTGAGGGGGTAGAATTCCTTTACCACACCAGAGTGTATGCGGGCAATTAATAATAATAATTCACTGTGTTGGGGGACAGGAAGCCAGAGTGTATATATATATTAGGCTTTTTATCGAGGCTTATTTCCCATTATTATTGTTGTTATTATTATTATTATCATGCATATTCATTTTAGCAATTGTTTTCTTGCACAGCGGCAGAGCTATGTCCCAGCCTGGGCTGTGAGTATGCATGCCGGGCCTCTCTTGCTGGTGGAGAATGTTATTGTCCTCCAGGGAAACAAGTTGCCAATGATACACGAACCTGTACTGGTAAATAAAATAAAATTTGTTTACTTGGTTTCTTTTTGCAGTATAATAGTTATCATAAATTACTTTTAAAAGACATGAATCAAACATATAATAATCTCTTATGTATATACAGTACAACAACCATTATATTGTGTCCATATGTTGCAATGTTTAACTTTCATCTAAGATTATTACTTATTGTCATCCAAAAGACAAGGATGAATGTAAGGAATGGGGCCACTGTGACCAGCAGTGCGTCAACACAGACGGGTCCTTCAAGTGCCTGTGTACAATCGGCTTCATGATTCAGGACAAAACCCGTTGCTCAGCCATTAATGTTTCTGACAAGCACAGGATGACTCTCTTCTTCACCCATCATGACAAGGTCTTAAAGGTGAGTCTGTGCTATTACTGTTATTGTTTATCATGTTAAGTTTGTATTCATTACTAGGTTAATAATTATGCAGTCCTAGTAGGGTTACCACATGGTTCTCACAGGGATTTTGTTTGGATGTGTGTTACTTGGAGACCTCCTTTGTGTATAGGCTTTAAACCTTAACACAGCATAATGGCACAAGGAAGATCCTTATTGTTATTAGGTCACCTGACATCAGGGGATTCTCCAGTTGATTTAGTTTTAATTTGCTGCACTAGTAAGTTTAGCACTAGAACCATATTTATTTGTTTTTACTTGAGTTGTTTAAACATAGAAAATAGGGTAATACATGGAAAATGCATGGTGTATACCTTACATCACCTTGTGTTGGTTCCGAGAGTCAAGGTCCCTACGGCCCAATATCTGACCAGGCCTCTTGGTTGCTGGACTGGTCAACCAAGCTGTTGGACGCGACTGCTCGCAGCCTGATGTATGAATCGGGCTGATATGTATTTGATATGTATTTGGGTTTCATATTAGAAGCCATTCAGTCTGGTTGATCAGGTATCCTTTGGAAGTGTTTATCAAGTTCTCTCTCGAACACTGCGAGGTGCCGGCCAGTTTTGCCCCTTCGTGTATTTGAAGCGTGTTGAACAGTCTTGGGTCTCTGATGTCGATAGAGTTCTCTCTCTCTCTCTCTCTGAGTACCTATTGCGCCTCTGCTTTTCAGCGGGGGTATTCTGCACATCCTACCATGTCTTCTGGTCTCATGTGGTGGTATTTCTGTGTGCAGATTTTGGACTAGCCTCTCTAATATTTTCACATGTAAATTATTATGTATCTCTTCTGCCTGCACTCTAGAGAAGACAGATTTAGGCATTTTAGTCAGTCACAATAATTTAAAAGGTTTATTGAGTGAATTCTAGCAGTAAATGATCTCTGCACACTCTCCAGGTGAGCAATTTATACAACTACTTACCTAGTTGTGCTTGCAGGGGTTAAGCTTCATTTCTTTGGTGAACACACATGATCATGTTATCATGTATATCTCTGACTTTCCCTACTCTGGGTGTGTTCACACTTGTATTGCATGCATTTGTTGAAATGAGGGTGGAAGGGTGCTAGTTTTTACTGTAATCTGGAAATGATTACGATAATCTATGTAAAATATATCTTTCGATTGTTTGCTTTTGCAGTTTTAAGATACAGTATTTTTATTTGATATATCTACAGGTTCAGGATGTACCAGGAAAGGAACCTGAGCTGGTAACAAATGCCACCTCTGCTTGGGGTCTAGACTATCATTACAAAAAGGACCTGCTTTACTGGTCTGATACAGAAACAAGAAAGGCAAGGCCTACATAACTTTTTTCTTTGATGTTTAAATTAGAATTGGTTTTTAAATTTGTATAATACTTAATATTAGTTAATGTACTGCAAATTAAATCTGCTATTGCTTATGACATAATAGCAATTTACTCTTGCTCAGTGTGTATTAAATGTATTATTTTTTCAGGTATACTCTCAAAAACTACGAGGGTCCAGCACCTCAGCTGAAACAACACTTACCCTCCCAGGATCCTTAACACCTGGAGCCCTCGCAGTTGACTGGGTTGGCGATAAGCTCTATGTAGTAGATATCCTGGGCCAAAAGATTGACGTGTTTGAAATTCTTGATCGCTACCATGCCATTGTTTTGTCAAACAATATTACTGAACCTCAAGATATTGGGCTAGACCCTACCAAAGGGTATGACTTTGCTGCTTGTTATTGATTATGAGAGGATGGCTTGTTTTTAAATGCTGTATTTTGTGTATTCTGCTTTTAACGCACATTCTGAGGTATATGGGAGTACCACCCTGAGTTGAACTGAGGTTGAAAATTTTAGGGATTCACTGCACAAGAATGTTTAAAATCACTTTGCCTTGGCTTAGCTGCTAATTGTTGTGTGACTGTTTCTTACTTGTAAATGTTTTCAAAAGATAAAACTATTGTATTCAACCCATCCTCCACTCAAGCTATCAATTAAATAATGAAATAACGTAACCTGTATGGGTCTCGAACCATGGACCCCACACGTGTGAGGCAGTAGCACTATGGGGTTCGCTGTTCGAGACCCATTCAGTCTAGGTGAATGGAATGTTTATTTACACGGAAGTATGGATGGCATTTTATATGAATAACGTAGATTTTAATACGTAAATAGATTTTAATACGTAAATGTTTTACTGTTATGTTGTGAACATATTTTTCCCTTGTTTTGGTGATAGACTGGTTGTATCTAAAAACCTAAATGAGAAGGGTGAAAATAAATTTGATTCAGTCATCACAAATAACATAATTATTACAAAACAACACTCACTCAAATGCATTATGTTTTAGTTAGGCTCGCTAAAGCACAGCAAAATTTTGGCATTAATACTTCCACTCCAACAGGTGCTATTTTTAATGGGAATTTTAATAAATTCTAGCACATTAATGGTGTATAGTGGCACCTTCAAAATCTTGATCATATCATTCATGACATAATCTAAATATGCATGAAATTTGGATTTCAAGAAAATGGCTTCTTTTTGGCTATTTATCACAAATTTTTCAGATTTTGTTGTAAAAATTAAAGTAAACAATAGAATTGTTTAATTATGCTTAATGGTTTTCAACATGCCAACTTCTTATCCTAATGTTGCAATCATGTAAAAAAAAAAATTAAATATGATCTGAGCAATATTAAAGGAGTTACCATTCATTACTTCAATTTTTCCAATGCTCTGTGGCAAAATTCACTGAGTAGAAATTTAATTGAACCTATAATATGATGGATATACACCAGATGAACCTGTCAGTAGAGATATATCATGACAGTCTGGCTTATACTCCACACCTGAAGAGTTCATTCAAATTGTAAGTTGCAGATGATGAGTCACAATAACGTAGCTGACGATATAATAAACATACCACACATCAGAAAATGAAGAAACGACAATGTGGTCAATTCTGGGCCATTATCAAGTCATGTAATGGTCCGAAATAGACCGAAATGTTGCTGCTTCTTCATTTTCTGATGTGTATGGTAATCAAATTATGAGCTCTTTTGTTTTTTCAAATTTTTCTGTGTTTCTCAATACTTTTGCTCCCAAACAAATTAATTTTTAGTTTCCATTATGTACTCATAATATTTGTCTTCTCATCCTGTTTCCTTGTAGAGTAAAGCTTCCTAATTAAATTTTTCTTCAGGCTAATGTTTGTAGTCGATCATGATCGAATTATTCGGGCTAACATGGATGGCACTAACTTGCAAGCCCTTGTGAAAGATGTTATCTACAAAGCATCCGGTATTGCTGTGGATATTATTAGTAAACGTATATTTTGGTGCGATTCTCTGTTGGACTACATTGAAACAGTAACTTATGATGGAACTGGTCGAACTGCAATTGTACGGGGTAAGACTGCACAATGTTTTCTTCAGTTATATTCAGCATTTTTTTAACTCATTATCCATAAACTATTTTTCTGAATGTATACAAATTTACCCAGAATTAAAAAATATATAATTTAGTTTGTATAAGTTGATTATAATACAGTTCATATAATCGTTTCAGCTTCGGTTATTATGAAGCCACTTAAAATATGCTTAAGACTGATTATTTAGTGATATGTATTTGGGTTTCATATTAGAAGCCATCCAGGACAGCAAGTTGCTGTTAAGTCCCACTAGGAAGAATCAATTCAACAACTGATGTTTAAACTTGATAGGAGATACATTATGCTCGAGTCAGAGGTACAGCAGCAGTTAACTATTTAATCTCAATCCTTATATTTAGTCAATAATCTATATATTTAGGCATTAGAAAACTCACTTTGTAATATAAACATGTGTTTTGCCAAAATGTAGGTATAAATTTGTTTGAAATGTTAATTCTACTAATAACTTACCAACTTTATATGTATGTTTTCCTACATATAATAAGTTTCTTCAGCCTTATCTATACTACACTTGACTTAATATGGATTCACTTGATGTTAATATGGATTAACAAGAGAGCATCATGTCTATAATATTTTATTATATATGATGCAGACACTAATTATTTTCTTTAGTTCCATTGATAAGATGATATTGTTTGTATATACAGAATAATGCATACAGCAATCTTTTGTATACTACACAGTGACATCATAATAGCATGATATATATATATATGAGAAAATATTCAAAGGACGATAGTGGAATCGAACATGCATCCCCAGGTCCCTCGGATGCACCCATTGTAGTTATGAGTATTTGGGGTGATCTATGACAAAGGTTCGATTCCACCATCCTAATGCAAAGAGTCTCTCACTGTTTATACTACTATAAGAGTACAGCAACTTTGAATAAAAAAATAATTAATATATTTGTATATTTTCAGGATCTACTAACGTTCCAGCACCAAATCGTTTAACAATGTTTGAAAGTAAAATATACTGGACTGATAGTACTAGGCAAGGTGTTATTCGCATAGATAAATATGATGGGGCTTCTTCAATTTATCAAGTGTATCGGAACTCGGGAAAGACTCAAGATCCCAAAGCAATTAAAGCTGTCCATGGTTTGATGCAACCCCCAGGTATTTACCAAATATTTGTGTGATACTTGTATGATTGTATTGTATGATAATGCAGATAGATATTTTACTATTGCAGTATGGGTATTATTATTATTACTGTTATGAAACTTTAAATACTTGTCTGTCACAAATATTTTTCTGTTTTTTGTTGTTTCTTTAATGTTTGCATGCATTCATGCTTGCATGTATGAACACAAGTGCAAATAAGTGATTGCTAAAAGCATAATATTTTTCCTACTACTACAATTAGATAATTGCACATACACTGAAAAAATGTGCAAAAGGAGGTTTTCACAAAATCACACACTACAGACTTTAGAATATAAATTAGGTCACATGTCATCTAGAGACTTAGTAAAGAGAACTTTTAAGAAGATGGACAGATACCCAGCAATCAGGCCAGATGGGCTTGCACTGTGGGCTCTGAGGGAATAAATGCTGGAGCTTAGTATTCCACTATAAATTATTATTCAGACATTCTTACAAACAGGGATCCTAGCAGATGTATGGAAAAGGGCACACACACAATCTCTATCAACTAAACTGTAAAGAGATTAACCCCACTAAACTATAGACTTATCATTGATGTGTGGGTTACTATATTTAAGTGATAAATGCCACATGGGTAGAAAATCCCGTACATATTTTATGATAGAGCCACAGAGATGTTTCAGAAAAAAAATGGTTGTAGGCTGATTACATCTTTCTGGCCTTGAGAAAGGCATCTGATAGTCCCTTACAAGAGGCTACTCTGGTAGTTAAATACACAGGAAAACTGACAGGAAAATGTCCATCATGGGTGAAAACTTTTTTGAACTGATGAAAAAGCATATAAATGAATAGGATAGGTGGAAACACGTGACAAAAATAAAAGAGAAGACTAATGTTACAAGCATAGATTTCAACATGTAACTACAATAATTACACATCCTGTCCCCTCCTCCCTCTTACACATACACACACATATATGTGTGCATATACAGTGTACAGATAACCAGGTTAACAGAGAGGAAGTAGAGAGTTATACAGGAGTGAAATGACTGCCATATGGCAGATATAGGCAGAGGTCTCATATTTAATATTAATTTATAATTATTGATTTTCAGTTCCAAATCCATGCTCAAGTGACAATGGTGGGAATGCAAATGGAGGGTGTGATCACATGTGCATTGTAACCCATGCATCCACTGGTCTGGGGTACCGATGTGCCTGTGATATTGGATACAGACTCAATAATGACCAGCAAAAATGCTCTAGTAAGTGGTATTTTTATTAAGATACTAAATCTGGTACAGTATACAAATATTTTCCAAAGGATTATATACAGCTTCTTAGAATACCTATTGTGCTCCTTGTTTGCATAATGTTTGGTACATATTATGTATAGATGGAAAATAAATGTACATTAGTGATTAAATTGTATATTAACATAATTTTTGTTTTGTTTTGCTGTATTGTACTTCTATAAAGATCAAGGAGAATTAACAAATACAGTATTAATTAAATTTATTTCCTAACTATGGGATATGTTATTGTATGGGCAGTAACACAGCCTGCAGTAGGCACATTTGAACAGGAAAACATGATCGAACAAATGTTTGATTGTATAATTGTTATGAATTTTTCAGTGGTAACAGAGTTTTTGATGTATTCTCAACAAAAATTCATCAAGGGACAAGTATTAGACCCTGTCTCTGAGAACTTCAATGATGCCATCAACCCCATTGTGTCAAAAGCTGCAAGATTTGTGGGACTTGATTTTGACTTTCGCAATGATTACATCTACTACTCAGATGTTAGCCTGGATGTTATTTACAGAGTGAAGAGAAGAGGAACAGGTAAAGCATTAATTTTATTTTATCTGGAATGGGAATTTATGTATATACTGTATATTAAGAATTATCTGTACTGCCTTTCCCACATACATACTGTTCATGTGTGTAGTCATTACTGTTCATTAATCCTTATATTTTTGCAGGTCGTGAAAACTTATTAGCGTCACAAAATGAAGGTGTCGAGGGTCTGGCATTGGACTGGGTTTCTGGGAATCTTTACTACATCGATAGTCGCAAAGGAACCCTAAATGTACTTTCGACAAAAAAGCCCGAACATCGAAAAATTTTACTTACTGATCTAAAGCGTCCCAGAGCCATTGTTGTACATCCCAACAAAGGGTTAGTTGTTAAAATACTTTTGTTTACTTTAGCTATAAATTGTATTTTGAAATAGATATAAATATATTTATTGTACAATAGTGTGAATACTGGAGATTATCTCCATTACTGTATATGGGCACAAAGTTTATGTGAGAAAGTTTTCGAGGTATAGAGATTATATTTTAACAAAGATAATATTTGAATTTACAAGAATAATTTTAATTGAATTTCATTATTATCTTCTTGCAGGTTTAATGTATCCCATTTGGTTGCCCCTCAAAGATAAGATTGTACTGTCTATGAGGGAGCAAATAATGCAGTCAGGCAGGGAGACATTCTAGGTATGGGTGAATGCTAGATCAGGGGAGCACTTGAGGAGATCATCCAGCTAAAGTCATCCATAAAAAGCTCAGAATTTATATTAAGCCTTTCCTAGCCTTCCAGGGATAGAAGGATTTCGCAAACTAGTAGTTGAATTATTCAGAAGTAGTGGTTAGTGACCTGTAGCGCAGTTGGCTCACAACTGATTGGACCCGAGTTTGATTCTTTAGCAGGGAGCAGGGCGAGATGTTTGACTGTGTTTTCTTGCACTTGATGCCTCTGCTCACTTTGAAGTAAATAGGTACTCGGGAGTTAGGCGACTGTTGTGGGTTGCATTTTGGGGAAAGTCAATCCATGGTCTAGTGGAACAACGATGAGACTTGGTATTTGGTTTCTATCACTGAAAATGTGAAACCACGATGTCACCATTGTCACTAGATTGTAGTACTTGACTCAACACCAAGTCTCATCATTGGCTTCATGTTGAAAGGGAAAGTAGAGAATTATATTAAAATTAAATAACTTTTTCATCCATTGGAATGGTGTTTCAATGAGTAGTTGGCATATGCATATACATACTTAATATTTTCAAGAACTGTATGTGGGGTCTCTGATAGGTAGGGTCTTACAGTTAATGATGCACAAAATGATGGTTTATTTGGTGAGTGAAATAAATTCTTTCATGGTCCTTTGGTAGACAATTTGGGTGACTGGCACTGGATACTGGGCATCTTCAGCCATATTCCTCACCATCGTGTGGATGGGAGCCGATCTGTTAGCCTTGGCTTGGTCTCGGAGCTTCTCTTGCCTGTTGTTGCGTGGAGTATGGCCAAAGTAGGAGAGGAAATAATGATTACTTTTCTCGGCAACTAGACTTCTACTTTAAAGATAGACATGGACAGCAGACATAACAGCCTGCTTTTGGTTTCGTGTTCTAAGTATTTTGATTATTCAACATGCCACAAGCTATGGATTGTGAGATGTACTATGGTCCTGATTGTTGTCTTTTTGTCTTGTGCATTTTCCATGTTGGGTCTACAACTGTTATCAACCGTGACTATGCAACATCTGTGGAGTTTATACATCTACTGTGTATACAGTAGATGCCAAGTTGTAAACAATAGTACATATCTGTTGCTGCTGGAGGTTGACTTTTAATAACTTTTGAATGTGTTCTGCAGGATCCTCTCTTCTTTAATGAGGCACTAGCTGATCATGTTGCTTCAACTTGGGTGTTGAATTTTCGCAATAGGAAAGGCTCTGTGTGAGTTATCTTACCAGTTACTTTACTGGTAAGAAGGGCTTCTAAAGAGTTTGAATGCATGGGAATTGTTAGTTTCTGTTTGATTCATATTTGCTGGACGACCTTCAACAATCCCACTTTCATATATGCTGGACGACCTTCAGCAATCCCACTTACCAGTTTGACATTGCAAAGATGTTTGTAAAGGTCTCCATGGTGCTGGTACCTTTTCATAACCCTACCTGATCACATAGTTCTCTTCCCCAGAAATAGAAATTTTCCCGTAGGTGGCAACCTAGTGAGTTACCATTCATTTAAATTAGATTTAAATAATTTTGACATACAGGTATATCCATTATTTGCACAGATGATATTCGGTATAATAACAAAAACAATTTGTTATGCTCTTCAGGTATGTGTTTTACTCTGAGTGGGACCGTCCAGCCAACATCAGCCGAGCTCATCTTGATGGATCAAATGTTATGGTGTTCCGCAATGTTTTGCTTGGGTGGCCAAATGGTCTTTCAATAGATTATAAAACAAATCGTATATACTGGTGTGATGCCCTTCTTGATCATGTGCAGCATGCCAATTTGGATGGCACAGATGTTCAGACTATCAGCTCTCAGAGCATTAGACATCCGTTCTCCCTTGTTATTTATAATGGTTAGTAAACTGTTTTTAATGCTAAATTTACTTTTACAATTATTAAACATTTATTAGTCATGATACTGTATTGTACATGTATAATTTTGAGTATAAAATGTAAAATTTTGAAAGAGCTTATTGAGCTAATGGTTATGCTAATAGTTATCAAATGCTTTGTAATATGGCAATCTGTTATGTCTCCGTCTCCTGCATTACCTACAGATTGGCTTTATGTGACTGATTGGCGTCGAGATGCCATTCTACGGATGAATAAAACTGATGGTTCGCAGGAGAGAACTGTAGCACAGGTTGCTGAAAGCAACCGCTTGTATGGCATCCGTATCTACAGTCGCAGCGCCCAGGAAATTGCTTACGGGCACCCATGCAATAATAATAACCAGTGTGAGAAATTCTGTTTCCCAGTGCCGGATGAAGATACAGGAAATCTAAAAGCAAAGTGTGATTGTCCCGTAGGAGAAAAAATTAACTCTGATGGCTTGACTTGTGCAGTTGATCCTGATGCTGAGCCATTGGATCCATCATGTGCACCATGGGATTTTACTTGCTCCAATGGCCGCTGTATACAAAAAACTTGGGTGTGTGACGGTGATGACGACTGCTTAGATAACTCGGATGAAGAGCAGAACTGTACTGAGGCCACGTGTCGTGAGGAAGAGTTCCAGTGTGGTTCTGGTAGATGCATTCCCAACACCTTCAAATGTGACTCCGATAATGACTGTGGAGATTTTTCAGACGAGACTGGGTGTGTCAATGTTACTTGTGAAACGTCATATTTCCAGTGTGACAATGGCCGCTGCATCCCCATGAACTGGAAATGTGATTCTGAAAATGATTGTGGAGATAGCTCTGATGAAGGGGATTTTTGTGCCAACAAAACGTGTTCTTACTTCCAGTTTACTTGCCCGAGCACGGGTGCTTGCATACCACAAGCTTGGGTGTGTGATGGCGACAATGACTGCTATGACAATAAAGATGAAGAAGGATGTCCACCTATAGCATGTACAGCTGCTCAATTCAAATGCAATAACCAAAAGCAGTGTATCCATGAATCCTATAAATGTGATGGAATCCCAGATTGTGATGATGCTTCGGATGAATTAGGATGCCCCACTGTTGGGCCAGATGAGTGCAATGATGAGAGTCAATTCAAGTGTGAAAAGTCAGGTATTTGCATCCCAAAGAGCTGGAGATGTGATGGAACTTCAGACTGCGAAGATTCTTCAGATGAACCCAGCACTTGTGGACAGGTTGGTTTTGAGATATAAATAAGACTTTACTATTAAAATAAAGTTAACGATTTATAGTACTTAACACTGATAGCAGTAATGACAACTAAAAATGTGATTTTTTCTGCACCTGAAAGTGAAGTACAGGGTACTGTACATATTTTCCAGCATATTGTCATTTTTTAAAATAGTTTAATGCTTTCAGGTAACATGTCCCAGCAGCCATTTTCAGTGTAAGAACTCCAGATGCATATTCCATTCATGGTTATGTGATGGAGAGAATGACTGTGGTGATGGGTCTGATGAGGACAATGATCAAGCCTGTGGAAAACCAGCGTTCAAGTGAGACGAGTTACCATTTTAAGATACTGTATTAAGCATTATACCCATTTGCCCCTCTATTGCCCACTCTAATTTATAATTCTTATTATAAATAGAATATGTTCTTCATAATTGTTATACGGGGCATTCCCTTCCTTGTCACTATCCATCTTGCCTGCCCTACTTGCCTCCTGCAAGCAACAGCTGCATTTTTCAAACTAAAATAATTATTTTATAAATCTGTATACAACAATGTAAGGCTAACTTGTATCATACCTCAACATTGAGATTATTTAAATGAGATGTTACTGGATTTTGGAGTAGCAGGTGTTGCCAAAATTTACTTTAAATGTATGTGAAGTAATTCAAGTACACAGAGAAGGCCAAAATTTACTTTAAATGTATGTGAAGTAATTCAAGTACAGTACACAGAGAAGGCCATAAAGAAGCTGAGAGAAATAAAGAAGTGAGCACACTCTGGTAACACTACCAGCAGTGTACCGGTCAGACAAATGTGTTCAATAAGTGACAATTTTCCTATGCTCAGGGCATTGTTTTTAACTAATATAGAAAAACAAAAACCTTGTTTTGAATACTGTAATATTTTTCTGTGCCCATATAGATAATGTTTGATGTAACTCGAATGCATTCCAAAGGGTTCAGCAACAATTGTTGTTCATACAAAATTTAGTTCTACATATAATACCCACTCTATATACCTTACCTGTAATTCCTGAAGAAGTTGTAGTGGAAAATATTAAATATATTTAGGTCTCTGCTCTGCATTTGGCATTCTGTTAAATTTGCCTCTGGTAATGTTTGAAGAATTATCAGCATTCAAGGCATTGGTAGGTAATGACATGATAAATTCTGATTTGAATTATATTATACATTGTAAACACTTCTTCACCATGATGAGGATATCCAATATCTTGTTTTTCAAAACATGTTTGTTCCTCTACTATTTGTTTCTGGATGATAACTTCAGTACACCTCAACTATTACAATATATAATGAAATTCATGTAATTGTTTAATGTTGTGTTTGGTTAGTGAAACCTTTTTTACAGCCACTTAGGGAATTTATTTTGTTAGGGATTAAGGGAGGTCAGTGTTTTCAGGTCATATTTCAAGAATGCACTAGCCAGTCTACATCAGATTTAGCATATTTATAGGACTCTGCTTAGTTAACTTTAAAAAATGAATAAACCTTGTGTGTGTGTTTTACAGATGTGGTGCTGGGATGTGGATGTGTCGGGGAGTCCTGGACACTTGTGTAAACAACAGTCAGGTGTGTGACGGCAAGAAAGATTGTCCAAATGGAATTGATGAAGGACCTGGGTGTTCTCAAAAAGACTGTGAGGGTGCAGAGTTGGATTGCTCGGTTAATTGTATGCAAACACCAAACGTAAGTCATTTCTGTACGATGTATATTTACTGTGCTTTTTTTTTTTAATAATTCTTATTGGTATGAGAACAAGTGGTCATTGCCACCTTTGGCACACTACCATGGCTAAAGTAATTTCTTATAACTATCATAGCTATTTTTAAAGATTTGGGATAGATTTTGGCATAACTGACTTCCTAAGTTTATTCCCATATTCACTATTAGTACAGTACTTTGAAGGAATACTACCTTACATCCCATTGACTTGTTCGTGTTTCCAGGTTTCACTAATGTCCTCAAGGTCTACTACTTCTCATCTACAACAGTCTGGTCTGGTCATCATTTGTGTCTTGAATTTACTGGAAATTACTAGTGTAAATGTACTTGATGTATTTTCTCATTTTCTCAGGGTCGCCAGTGCACTTGTAATAAAGGTGAACGACTTAAGGAGGGCAGTGATACAGATTGTGAAGATATCAATGAATGTGATCCTCCAGGCATATGCTCCCAGAACTGTATGAACAAGAAAGGCACATATATCTGCTCGTGTTCTAAAGGATACATCTTAGATTCTAATAAGGCAACTTGTAAAGCCTTAAGTAAGTTCATGGTTACCATATATTTTACTTGGTGTTTAATCATTTCTGTGTAAACTTTGTGAACATCAGGTACAGCTTTGTTAATTTAACCAGTTAAAGTTCTTCTTTGTCCATCATGGATTGATTGAGCTGTATTATTATTTTACTTGATCTATTATATCTTAAAGTACTAAATTATAACTTTAACAAAATATTTATGTATACGTCACCTTGTATAGTAATTTTCTTTCAATTAATAATGTGGTGTTCAGCCAATCATCTTTTGGCCAAGTGTTTCCTTTACTGGTGTGCCATTTAGACATTAGGATTCACATTTTATTTTTCAATTAATGTGTGCTTGCCAGGGCACATTTGCTACTTCAATTAATTTTTGTGCAACTTAATTAATGTTGCCAAGCATGGTGATCATCATTATGACCACCACCACCAATTATTCTCTTACTTTTTTATACCCAAAATCCCACCCAAAATTTGAACCTGGAATTCCAAATTGCGAGTTGGGAACGAATCCGACTTTACTACCAGGATGTGACACAGAGCATATACAATCACCACAATCACCTTAACCACTTTTTAAATGTTTTTAAACTTAAATGGCATTATGGGAAATCATTCATTGTTCTGTAGCAGTCTCATTCGTGAAAAGGTCTAATCCCCCACTCCCTCACAAACTACATTAATTTTTTTTCTTTTATTGTAGACCGGTCAGATGCTTTCCTGGTAATCAGTAATCGCCGCAGCATCTTGATTGCTGATTTACACCAGCGAAGCTTGGAACGAGTTCCAGTGCTAGTAGAAAATGTTGTTGCGACAGCCTCTGATATGAAGAATGGCACTCTGTTTTGGTCAGATATGAAAGTCAAGCAAATTGCAAAACTGGAAAAGGGAGGTCAGCCAGAAGTGGTAAGTTAATCTGCCAGATCTTGTCACTGACAGTTAGAATTGTTCTCTCATTTTGTCATGGCTTTCCCTCTGTAATCTGCAGTTCAAGTCTGAATGAAAATGAGGTGGGCAACTCCTTGCTAATTTAATAACAGTATGGATGCTAACAACCGCTGGCAGTCTTGGGTAGCACCCAGGTGGCCAACAAACAGTTAACAAAGTAATGCTTGGCAATCTATATAAGGCTGAGTATTGCATAAATCTGATTTTTCTAAATACAGGTATAAACAACTGCATCAAGGAGCAATAATGGTCTGGTCTGGCTGTTGTTTGGTTGTGTCTTTGTGAGAATTGGACCTTACCTCTGGAAATAACTAAGTGGCCTGCTCTGAAAGAAAGAAACTTTTATCTACACTTAGTCATTTTCTTTTTCTTCGTGATACTTGCAGATTGCATGAAAGTTTTTCCTCCCAATGATTGCATGAGTAAGAGGCATGTTGAAAGATGTGGCACTCACAGTGGCCCATCAATATTCATCATTTGGCAGTTGGAAGTTATCGGTGTCTTCTATTTGTGTGAGGATAAAGACAACACTAAACATATGAGTAGAAATGGAACCAGGATGGCAAAGATGAGGAGTTGTGTTGATGGTGATAACAAAAGTGTTACTGTGCTATGGAAAGTGTGAGGTTTAGTCAAGAGACTGAGTTTGTGAGTCGAAGTATGTTTGGGAGTTAGTCGCAATTCATAGGTTAGGATTAGGGTAGGGTAAGTTAGAGTACATTAAGTAACATGGGGTTAATGTGTATAAGGTTAGGTTAGGTTGGGGTAGGTTAGTTGAGGATGGGTTATGTTATGCTGTCGTAATTTGGATCTTTACATCTGGGATGTGATTGCATCGGTCTTCTTTGACGTGCCAGAAGTACAGAATGTTTAATATCTGGGAGTGGTTGGAGGATGTGTCGTGGGAGAGTGTGGTTTATGTGGTTTTTCATTCAAAGTGCCAGGTGGTCGCTGGGAGGTTTGTACAGCTGAGGATTTCTTATTCTTGCCGGTGGTGCCGGTGGTTGGGGGTTTGTGGCAAGTCAGCCTGGGGAGTGACTTTGGTAAGGCGTGCTAAGTAGTAATTTAGGAGTTTGTCCAGCATCAGTTCAAACGATTTGTATACAGCAATGGTAGCTGCGTTAGGTTGGATGTCATTGTCTGTAGAGATGTGTTGATCAGGGATGGGGTTTACTTGTGTAAAGAATTTAGTTAGGAGTCGGTCCAGCGTCTTTTCTAGTACATTTTCAATGCGAGTGACAAGCTTTTCAACAAGATCGGAACTCGGTTGTACATTTTGTGGGAGAGGATTGGACTCTGGGGTTACAGGATTGTCAGTGACAGACATTTTGGGTACAAGCAAAGGTTGAGTGTGGTTGAGTTGATATGACTGAGTTAGGTTGTTTCAGTGTACTACTGTATTGCAGGTTATTGGTGGGGAGAGCCTTAATTTTTGCTGCTATGTATGAAGGACATTGTTTGAATGTAATGTCATGATTGCCACCACAGTTTGAGCAGGTGAGTATATCTGATGCACTTTTTGTGTGTAATGGGAACCAGAGCATTTCCCACATTTGATGTCTTTGGTGAAGCCTTTTGAGGTATGGTTTGAAACCTTTACATCTGAAGCACTGAGTGGGACATGGTACATACACCTCTAGTTTATGGAGTAAGCCGTTAATCCAAACTCGATAAAGGGGAAAGTAGTCTAGAAAAGTAAGCAGGGCAGTGCCTGTATCACTCAGTTCTCCGTTTGTTCTACGCATAAATTTTTTGACTCCGAAGATTGGAATGTCATCTGCCTGAAGTTGTGCCTTGATGTTGTCTACACTAATGTCTACAACATGTCGGATTACTATACATATTTTGCTAATCGGTCACCTAGTGGTTTGTAGCACTTGACTTTGCATCCACAGATGTCAGTAACGTCTGAAAGCTCTAGTTCTCGCTGTGTTTGTGGTCCACTGCGATTAAGTTCCTTTGTTTATTTGGTCTGATATCGTGCACTTTGATCTTAAATACCTTGGGAATGGCATGATATAGGATACTTTGTGCCCTGCTATTTCCGAAAACACTCCTATCCTCATATGTATCATCATCAAAGGCAATGATGAAAGTTTGCAAACCAGGAGAACATGTCCTACCTTGGCTGAGTGGTGGATGTTGATACTCAAGCTGCGTGGGGGCGGGATGGTCTCCATTTACCTCTGGATGCTGGTGGTGCTTTGCCTCTAATTTATTTGCCTTACTGTGATGTGTACTGACCAGGAAAACTCCCTCTAGATCCTCCTCTAAGACTGAAAGGCCATCTTGATCTAAATGCCATGCCATGTAACAGTGGTTTCTTAAAACCCTCAAAGGTATCGTGAATGTTTGTAGGAGAGATGCTGTATGCACCTCCAGCCGTCACCATGTTGCCTCACTCATTTTATTACATTGGTTAGTGTTTCAGAGTGTTAGTGTCTCTTTGCTGTTTCTATAGAAATAACTTGTAATCTGTACTTTTACTCAGTCATGTTAGTCATAACATTAAAATTTGTATGTATTTATTTGTTTGAACAAATGTTTCAGATTATTGGTAGTGGGTTGGACCTTGTGGAAGGCTTGGCTTATGACTGGATTACTGGTAATATATACTGGGTTGATTCTCGCCTTAATGCTTTGGAAGCTTCAAGGAGAGATGGTACACACCGCATGATTCTGCTCAATAAAAACATATCACAACCAAGGGGACTCTGCATTGACCCTTTAGAAGGGTAAGTACGTAATACAGTCCATTGTTATTGATGTTGTTGTTTCATGGAATCTGACACATTGATAATAGGAGTAGAAAACAGCATATAACACTGCAATGCCATTATTAGAGAATGTGTTGATAAATAGGAGTGAGCATGGCAGGAGAAACTGTTTTATTTGTGATGAACTTAGTGCTCAAAACGAAAGAAACATCTCAGAAGAATTTTCATCCATTCTGTGTAGTATGATCAAAAAATGTTTCCTGTATAATCTAAGTGGAGTCTCACAAGTTAAAGGATATCATTGAAGCTTTTATTACTAATACTTCTGGATATGAATCCTCATACTTTTTTGGCATTATTTTGAACATATGGTTTGTCACTTTGGTTTTGAGTTCACTACAAGTCATAGCTTCAAAATAATAACAATAATATTATACAGTACAGTTATTGCAATTTAACTATTGTATTGTTTAGCCGATATTTGGTACCTCTGTTTTTTTATTTTTTTCAAGGCTTAAAAGCTTACATTCATCAAAGAGAACTGCTTTTTAACATTTTCAGTTCATTTTTAGTGTCAGTTTAGGTTCTGTAACATTAAGTAATGTGACTGTAATACAGATAGCTGTGTATTTTAGTGTTCTTGGAAAGTCGGCTCATTTTGCTGTTACTCTCCTGTATTTAAATCTATTTGGGGAAAATAACATCATCTGGACAGAGCCCTGAGGTACCCCACCGCCCACTGATTCCCACTTTGGTTCTGTAGTTGTAATGGCTTTGTACTTTCCCATGATAATTCCCTTCCTTTCCTTTTATGCTGACACTTCATATTTTTGTGTGTAATAAATAAACCCTGATCTCGTTAAAAAAGTTCCCTTTAGTGCTCTGCACTTCTGAATTCTAGGTACATAATATTAAAATTTTTGCCAATCTTCTGTTTCAAATATGTTAGAAAACCAGTGGAATTAAATTTATTAAACATAACTAACAATTGCACTGCAAGTCTGCATTTATTGCACTGCATTTATTAAGGTATATTTTTCACATTAGTATAAAAGATATTTATGATTGTTTCTTTGATTTTGATTTTCCCACATTTGAAGTTTTCTTCAAATTGAATTACTTAGTGAACTATACACTAGGTAGCTTGCCAGTGATCTATATTCAGTTATAAAATCAGCGACTACATTTGCAACCTTCCATCATTCTGGAACAAACTCTAGTGAACTATTTAATATATTTGATAAGGCTTCACTAGGGTCTTCCTTGCATTTTAAGACCGCATGGCATAATTTCCTTTGCTCTATGCTCTTATATTACATTTGTTCTTGACTCCTTTCACTTGCCATTCTACAGTTCACGCTGGTTGTTCTGGACTGACTGGGGTGAAAATCCTCGAATTGAACGTGTAGGACTTGATGGTCAGAAACGATCCGTTATCATCAACTCCAAGATCTTTTGGCCCAATGGTCTTACTGTGGACATTCCAAATAGAAGGATCTACTTTGCTGATTCCAAACTTGACTACATAGATTTCTGCAATTATGATGGGACTGGAAGACAGCAAGTGAGTTCATTTAATTATTTTTTTTTATATATTGATATTTACATTAAATGTAAACTTTCACATTTATTTTACTATTTCCTAACATTTTCTTAAGTCATATTATTTAACTTCTGCAAGTCAATTTCCTATCCCGTTACCACCAGTTTTGAATCACACCACTTCAAAAAAAAAATTATATATAATTTTACTATCACATAAATCCTAAGTTTCCTATAATATATAATTTAAATGATCATAAATATACATTTTTACTGATAAACTTTTATGCAGTATACTTTATATAATTTGTTACTGAGGTTTGATGATCTGTTTATAGTTTTGCTAGTTGCTAGAATATGTGTATAAATATCATAATATAAACAAATTAGAACATCCTGTACCTCGTTATATAAATATTTTCAAAATACTTTCAAGTTACAGTTGTCCATTACAGCTTTAGTACTGTTACAGTAGTTACTGTTGGGTCACAGTTACAGCAGTCAGTCACTGTTAGGTCATGGTTACAGCAGTCAGTTACTGCTAGGTCACAGTTACAGTTGTTATAGATTAACTTGTTAAGTCATCGATAATCTAAATTGTCCTCATTTTTAATTAGTCTGATCATTTAATAGAAAACCAGCCTCCTTACAGTTTTATTCTAATCCTGTTGTAAATAATCCTGTTTTATTTCAGGTACTGTCTCAAAGCCACTACCTGCTTCATCCACATTCCTTATCAATCTTTGAGGACAATGTTTACTGGACAGACCGTCAGCTCAATAGAGTTCTCTCGGCTCACAAGTTCAGCGGTGATAATGAGAGCGTTGTGTCACATCTGGTGTCACAACCTCTAAGTATTCACGTTCACCATCCTGTTTTACAGGTACGTGCAATGAAGTATGGTGCTTAAGGCAGTGTTGGAGAAAGTTGCATGTTAACAGAAAATTGTAGTGTACTGTATACACAAAGGATATTGTATGTCTTCTGGTTGCTAGGTCATGGTGTCATGGCATGTAATTTATTTAAGAGCAATTTGTGCTTGTAAAATACATTAATATACTTGGTTAATATACTTAATCCATATATTTAATACAATATTCTTGAATTATCATCATTACAATTGTTATATTTTCTCACAAACAGCCTACTGAGGAAAATCCATGTGCATCCAACCCATGTGCACATCTTTGCCTCCTTAAACAACCTACTGGTTATACATGTTTATGCCGCCCTGGTTATAAGATTCATGGTAGCAAATGTAATCCAGGTAAGTTGAATATCAGTGTTTATCATCCTATATATTCCCTTAAATGTCATTCAGTTTGTCATCCTGGGCAGGGCGAGACAGCTTGGCGCGTCTCCTTACACCAGTTTTCTCTGTTGACCTAGCGGTAATTAGGAACTTGGTTGTTACTCGACCGTTGTGGGTCGCTTTCTGAGGAATGGTCAAATACTGTTCCTGTTTGAGAAAACTTTGAATTTCCCACAAAGAAACATAGAAACAATAATTAAAAGTATTAACAATTGTGTTACCCACAACTTTTCCTCCTTTATGAGAGTGACATACAGTAATGCCCATTGTCTGAGACAGGAAGCCTGTACATAAGCTTGTATGGCGGTTTCTCCCCCTTAGGTCACACTACTGACCTTTCCTAGGATGCAACCCACAACAATGGCCTAACTCCCAGTTACTTATTTACTGCTAGGTGCACAGAAGCATCATGTGAAAGGAAAGAAGCTCAAACATTTCTGCCACATCCAGGAAGTGCACCTTGGATTCAAGGATCCAAAGGATCGAGAGTCAAGAACCACTGTACACCAGGACCCTATAGAATTATGCAGAAATATTACCATTTAGATAAATAAGAATTTAAAAAAAAAAACATGATTAATATTAAATGGCAAAGAGATTACAAGTAGGTGGAGAGAATACTTTAGAAGTATAAATCATCTAATTGTACTTGCATAATTGTGCTTGTGTGGATTGGGCTTTGGCTCTTTCATCATGGTTCTCAACCTTCAATCAACTGGTGTACAGGTTCTTGAGCCTATTGGAGTCTGCCTCCACCACTGTAGTTCTGTAGTTTCTAGTACATTCTACCTGTTCATTTCTCTGACACTGAAAAAATTCATTCTAATGTCATTCTCTCATTTGGGTGTTTTAGTTTCCACTTGTTTACCCTTGTTAATGTCCCATGTGGAGGTGATAAAAGAGAAGTTAATGTGAACAGCAAACGTGACCAAGAATCTGGAACAAGACCTGGATTGAAATTGAAACAAAAAAATTATTAATAATAATAACAAATAAATCATTGCTCTGAATTGCTGGTTCTAGCTTGTAAACTCCAAAGTTAAAATTACCAAGTTACATGTTTGTGTTATTTTTGACTCTCAATCAATCAAGAGTTGCCAAGGAGTTAGGCAACTGTTGAGGGGCTGCATCCTGGAGCAGGGCAGTATTTCCATCTTGTGGGGGACCTCAGTACAAGCCTAACACAACACACACACACACACACACACACACACACACACACACAGTTTAGGTTGCTTAGCGTTATATGACAAAGAGTGCTGGGAAGACGGGACACCATGAGCGTAGCTCTCATCCTGTAACTACACTTTGGTAATTACACACACACACACACGTGCGTGCGATTCATGTACCTAACAAAATGAATAATATACAGTAGTAGCAATAATAATAAAAATAATAATAATAATAATAATAATAATAGTAATAACAATATTAATTATTACTGCAGGCGATGAGTCACAATAACGTGGCTGAAGTATGTGACCAGACCACACACTAGAAGGTGAAGGGATGACGATGTTTCAGTCCGTCCTGGACCATTATCATTATCATCGACCATTATCAAGTCGATTACAGTCGACTTGAGAATGGTCCAGGACGGACCGAAACATCGTTGTCCCTTCACCTTCTAGTGTGTGGTCTGGTGAACATTAATTATTACTATTATTATTACTACTGTATTTCCAAACTCCAATTGCTGATTCCACTCAATAAAGGTGCAACCTTATTTAAAATTGTAGTACAGTATTGCTTTTCATGATGTTTTTGTACTTTATATTATTGCAAGGAATATTTGAAAGGTTGGGTGAATGAATCTTACCGGAATAGTTGAAAGATTTCATAGATTTTATTTTAGCACCAGTTACTTGCATATGTACTTTTGTACATAAAATATTTATATTTATGATCATTATTAATTGCACTTCTAGGAGAATTTTCATAAGAAAAATATATGTGATAATTATTATTTTTACTTTGTAACATTGCTAAGGGGTCCTTAGTCTTGGTGAGGATTCCCATATACTGTACTAATACAATTCAGTCTTATATTTACCTGTAATAATTTTTCAGAGGAAACACCATACTTAATGGTGATGAAGGGAAGCCAGATAGTGGATGTAGCCCTTACTCCGGGTGAAAAAGGTGCTGCTGGATTCCTCACACCAATTGTGGGCGTGGAAAATGGACTCCAACTAGATTATGATCGTAACAATGAACGTGTCTTCTGGATTGAGGCCATCATGAAGGATAGTGAGAATGTATGCTATACTACATTAATGTTAAACCTTAAGGGGGTGGAGTAATGGGTCTGTTGGTTACCTACTGGTATTATTTTTGTAATGTGATTATACAAAAATATCTTTGTTTAAACCACTTACTAATTTACCATTGTGGTTGATTTTGTGTACAGGTACTCATTTATTTAACAAAATGGTTGAATAAGGTTGAATTTGGTTAAATTAAAGATGGAATAAAAACAATATGTTATGTTTGGTAAAGTTAAGATTGATCTTACAATCATTTTAATATAAACCATTGTAGCAACTGATATTGCATAAGCTGTATATGTTAATCGTATTTGTTTTTCTCCAGGGTACAATCTATACAATGAGCATTGGAGGCGGTAATAGGTCAACTTATTTGGATTTGGGAATTGTTGGATCTCCTTACACCATGGCCTGGGATTGGGTCGGTCAAAATATGTATATTGGGAACCGAGTTGCCAACAACATTGAAGTCCTTAAACTAGATGGCAAGAACAAATACCAAAGTGTGATCTTGGACAACAATGGCAATGCCACTGGTGTAGGCAGACCCAAGAGTATGTGTCTTGATCCTGTGGATGGGTAAGTACTCTTTCTTTTATGCTGCAGCAAAAGCCCTAACTCTAAGGGCTTTTGTCATTTGCTTTGTACTGAAGCACAAGCTTAGTTCACCTCAGAGGTCTGGGATGGGTGCATGACAGGAGTCCAATTATTTTCTAGTAAATTTGTTCTTATGAACTTGAACCACTTGGTTGTTACCTTAAGCAATGTTCCACTCAGGACAACTTTCTTATTCTTTATGTAGTGGAGGTCTTTTCAAGCTGTCCCCAGTGGGCCACAAGTTAGTTAAGAGAAAGACTAGAGAATTCTCAAGAAAGCCATAAGTAACCTCCAGAAGATTATCTACCGTCTTAAAAACCTCTTTTTAGGCAATACTTAGACTGAAACAGTCTACCAAGCATTAATCTGCTAATAGCTAGTTTAACATTTGGCCACTACTCCAATCCCCGACGAGGTAACAGCACTAGTACAGTAATCAAAGGTGCAAGGGGGATGCCACACCACTTTCTTCTCTAGCTCTCCTGAGCATAAGTCACCAGTCAACAAGGAGCCAAACCATAAATAAAATGTCAATAGTTCATCCTGAGACACTTTTGTGCAGTAGGCATATGCTGTATAGTGGACACTTGTATTTGTCAGTAAGTGTTGCATACACATTCATAGGTATGCCATGTCCATGTGTGATTTGTTCCTCTTATTGGATCTCATTGTTAGTATTGTTACTTCTTTCATGAACCTTTGTTTTTATTCAGTCATGGGGCATGCCCTCACCTCTTTGTAGGTGCTTCATGACATCCAGGTGGAGGTTTGTACCTCCACAGCAGTTAGTAATGGGGACTTCATTCACAATTGAGCTAGATGCTCCGTGACGCAATTTCAAAGGGGCTGGACAGTGTTTTGATGATGACGAATATCATCTTTGCTGTTTCCTGATTTCTCCGTTAGAGTGCAGGGTAGTTTCCACCCTAATGTGTCCTCTGTGTCAGGTTTAGGCATTGACTCTGCTCTAGCTGTAGTCTTAAAAAGCAGCTTGTCATCTGTGTGCTCCCACACTAAAATATTGGTGCCAACAACCCAACTCTTGCTGTGCTGGATCCTGAGTGCATTATTCTCTTTTTGATAAGAAATTGGATCTCTTGGACCAGTCGACCTCTCCATCTGATCCTTAGGACTAGAAGGGTGCTGCTTGTTCCCCAAGTCCAGGCATATATCTTTTCAACCTCACCTCTGGATGAGGCTCCCAAATACATTTGCTTGGTTACCATGCATGTTTTGAAGGGATCAGTTTGAGACCACATTATCATTTTTATCCCCTTGAGAGGATGTTTCTATGAGGGCCAAAGTCCCTACCTATTAGCTTCCTCACTGCTTGCATGTAGGATTCTCATGGGCAGAACTCCACAATTGGCTCTTCCCCTTCGCTGGTGAGGGTATGGTTGCATATTTTGTTTATTGATGAGAAATGTTACAGAAGAGGCCACATGGTTTCCAGTTGATCATTTGTGAGCTTTTGTACACAGGTATGTACACAAGGTACGTATCTGCAGGTTGGGGAGTTCCATTACCCCTTTGCTCAGGTTGAATACTGTATGATGTCTTTACCTGTCAGCCTCAAGTTCAGTTCATGTGGGCCTGTGGAGGGCTCCAACACTGCAGTTTCCTTGGTTTTCTTGATATCATCTTCCTTTTTTTCAGGCCTAGACGTATTAGTTTTTATTCCTGTTGCAAGAGGAAAACTGTTCTTTGGAACTGGACTAAGCCTGTTAGTTCAGTTATACTCATTCTTTATAATTCTTTCTGGCTGACAGATAATACATTTTTCTTAGTGGAGAAGTGAAGTTTGTTCTGTGGTACTCGGGTCTTCGGAGGATTAGCAGGAGCTTGTCCTCATCATTTTGGGGCTTTAGCAAAGGACTTCTTTAACTCTATAGCCAGGTTGTATATCGCCAATTTGTTCCTAGGAATTTCATAAGTGCCTCATCCAGATTCCCTCTTTCTTGCCTCACTTGGTTGTGGCTATTTTCAAGGTTAGTATTGTGTTGGTGATGTAGTTAATCTACAGTCCTGGAAAGCTCTTCTCTTTGTAACTTGTCCAGGTCTGATTCCCAGCTCTCTTTTGCTCATTGTTTCCCTTGCAAAAGATTGGCAACTAGTGGTTTATAGGCTCTTAAGTTCTTTGTGTTCATTTTCTAAGCCTGCTTTGCCACCACAACCTGTGAGGGCTATTGAGAAAAGGTCCCCACTGCATTGGAGATGAAATGGTAAATCTGACCCCCTAAGCGAGAGGTAGCAGTGTTCCTTGGGGAATGAAATCTTTAAAGGGAAACACAAAGTGAACAGCTCAGAAAGGAGTGAACCACTCATGACTGGTTAACCTTGGAAGTTAGTGCATGAGCAGATCCTAGAATGTAAGTGTATATATTGATCTATGATATAGCTATTATTATGTAATTTTGTATTATAGGTTCATATACTGGCTGGATGATGGTGGTGTTGGTGTTCCTGCTAAGGTTGGTAAAGTTGGTATGGATGGTACTAATCCTGTCATCTTGTACAACTTTACAAATCTTCAACCAGAATTCATCACAATTGATATAGAAGCAAAGGAGTTATATTGGTCAACCAGTAATGAGGCTCAAGTAAGTCTTAAGAGTCTTTTTTTTTTTTAAATAGTTCTTAAACATTTATTTTTCATATATTTATTTTCACCCAAAAATGTACAAAATGTTGTCACTGTTGTGCTATAAAATAATAGCTTAGTATATTTAGATAGTTTATTAATGTGTTTCAAGTCATTCGAGCTGTGCTGGACGTTTTTTGAACATGTAAAGATAGAAAAAATGCATCGTAATTATTGTAACTGATAGGCGATATGTGATGTACATTTCTTTGTTCATATGTTTATTGCATGGGTTTAGGCTTAACAGGTTCCATCAGAATTTGCTTTTTCCTCCCTGATTTTGTTACAGAAATAGCTACCTAATTTGCATCATATAATAATAATAATTTATTTAGGAAAAGTACATACAAAGTTGCAGAGTTACAGCACAAACATTCTGTTTGATTTAAAGATAGAGGTAGTACATACAATACCTAAAGCCACTAGTACGTATAGCGTTTCAGGCAATATTTACAGCATACAGTGTATGCACTGTATGTCGATGCATTGTATCAGCATTCTAGACTCTGGTACATTGTTGTATGATATGTAACCCCTTTCCCCATCCCTCTGGCTACTCTTTAATTAATTTTATATGTAAAAATGTAATTTGGAAAATACCTTTACTGCTTTGTTATTGATTTGCTGGGATACATTCCGTGTATGAGGGGAAGATCCGACAAAGATAGACAGGTTATTATGGTTGGAGATATGTATGTATGTGGAGCTAAAGCGGCAGATGGTTTATCTAACTGTGCATTCCTTGTTTATTAATACTTGCTTATTAGTGTCTCCATAGAAATTTTGCCTTTTTAACTGTGTAGAATTATTTTTTATCTCTCAACTGATTTTTATTTCCAATTTCCACCTATGCCTTCTTATCCTATTTTCTCTCAAATTGAAAAAGCTGTCTCTGTCCATCTTTCTTATTAGAGAAATTAGACTCAATTCTTTAACCTTTTCTTCATATCTAAGCGCTCTTATTGCAGGCACTAGTGTTGTTACAAACCCTGAACTTTTTATTTTGTGTTTCAAGAGATACAGATTCCATGCTGGTGCTACATGTTCTAGTACTAGCCTGACATAGAATGTGTACTTGATTTTGGTTCTTATTTTTTCTGGATTTGCTGTTTAATCTGTTTCCATACATTATCTCCATTATATAGTCAAACACTATAGTACACTGATTACTGTCTCCCAGTGTTCTTCATACAACAGTTCCTACATTCTGGTAAAGCCACTAGCATACATAGCATTTCAGGCAGGTCCTTAATTTAAAATTTCCCTGGAATACAACCCGCCAAATAGTTTAACAACCAGGTACCCATTCATTGCTGGGTGAATAGAGGTGTACAGTTAAGGATTAACACTTACTCAATCCTCCCCGGTCAGGCTACGAATTCAGGCCAAATTGCTTGTGAAGCGAGTGTGTTACCACTACGCCATTGAAGACTTCATCTTTTATCTCGGTATCTGTCTCACTCTGGGTAAGGTCTGACATTGCCAGTGTATCCTCTTCCCTTACCATTTTTGACTGTAGTATGTTCTGCTTTAGAAAGTACTGTATATACCTACCAATTTCACCTTCTTGTGCCATCGCCACTGAGGGTATCCTTCGTCTTCCAGTCTTTTTCCCTGAATCAAATTACCAAAGACTAGGAAGCTTTGCTCTTGTTCCACTTGCCACTGTTGCTGCTCTCTGTAATTACTTAAGTACTTACCGAAGTGTAGTTACAGGATGACAGCTACACTAGTGGTGCCTCATCTTCCCAGCACTCGTTGTCATATAATGCTTTGAAATTACTGACGGTTTTGGCCTCCACCACCTTGTGTGACCTGTAGACTGTTTTTATTGTTCTTATCATGCTCTTCTGCCTGCTGATTGCTAGGGCTTATACATCACCACATCAAAATATATATGGATATTTTCCTGTGGAATTTTATATTAGGAGGGGCTTTTTTTCTAAAAACATTCTCAGAACATATGTAAATTTATAGATAATATATACATGGAGAAGATATAAGTGGAGCACAGATGAGCAGAAATCCTTAATAGATTACGTAACAATAGATGGAAGAATGATGGAAGAATTAATGTGAGGTAAAATAATAATAGTCATGTTGTTGTTGCTGAATTTAGAACACAGTGTTATGTTGATCAAATTCAGGATTTGAATCAAATTTGGTGTTCAACCTAAGAGGGACTAAGAGAAGGATGTTTAAGGCAATAGTGAAAAAATACAAATAAATGAGATATATTGTAAGTCTGAACATTTAGTATAAATAACTTTTCACTGCATATATTTCTTGTTCTCTTGGAAACAGCTTATTTTTATAAGGTTAATACAAATCTGTTCGTTTAAAGATATTATCAAAATTGCATAAAACAGTTTGTTAATGAAAGTGCCTTTACATGCAGCCAGGAGATGAAGTAATCCAAGCTGAGGTAAAAATGTTTTAATCTGCTACTGTTCTAATATTCTTTTGTAAGTGCGTGTATATTTAAATTATGGTTATTATTATACTAATTAATTAAATATATGTTCACTATAATATACAGTATTTACATTTTTGCAGATAATGACCAGTGATGTATATGGAGAAAATATAAGGACAATTCTTACAGAAGTAAACAACATTGCTCGGCCCAAAGCTCTAGCTGTGTATGAGAGTAGTACGTACACATTTGTGTTTGTTTATGAAGTATTGCTATGGGTAAATAATTTTGGTCTACACATTATTTTATGCTGAACTATTACATCTAACTTCATCTCCATATCAAGTGATGCAGATAAATCACATTGTAGCTTTCTATTTCACTAAATTCTTAACATACAAACAAGTGAAGTGTCTCTTTCATTCATTACTTTTTATACCTTGAAACTTTTCCACTATACAGTATTCAGTCTTAATACTTTTTCCTAATAATATGTCATATAAAATGCCTTTTTCTCAAGGTGCTGATCTACACCTATACATCATTCCCAGTGCTGGCCTTTCAGTATATTCTTTATAGCTGTAATATCGGAATACATTTGTTCATTTTCTCCTTAATTACTCTCTATCCTCGTATCTAACTTATTTATTTGTAGCTTTATATATTTTCTTGTTGTATAAGAAAATGGGCTCATTGAGCCCATCTTGTTTTCATTATACATAGTGCTGAACACATTATGATATTGCATGGCATAATATTCATCCATGATGTGCACTCTTGCCATATCTTTGTATCACAGTAGCCATTCATTCATAACCCTTTTAACCAGTAAAAAATTTTGAGAGCTATTCTACGCTTGTCGGGTCACAGGCCAATTGTTGATTAAGTCACAGGCTTCGTCTTAGATAGATTTCTGAGGTATCACACTTGAATGTTCTCCAAGATCTTTTCTAGTCCCATTGGGCAAAATTATGACAGTAATCCAGGGTGACATTCTACACCAAGTACAGCAGGAATTTTTTCACAAATTTATGTTGGGTAACTGATGGGAGGCACTTGAAAAAAGTTTAGTTCATCGTTGAGGAATTGCAGGAAGTTCATTCACAGAATGAACTTCAAAGCACTTCCAAGCCATACATAGCATCACATGAATTGCCAAATAGTGTTCTTTTTGACTGCTGGTTTGCTCACCTGGATGCTACCCATGGTCACCACCAGGTGGAAGAACACACACCATCACTGTGGTTCTATAATACGAGCCATCTCATGTTCTTTCTAACTGGTCCCCATGTCAGAAGAATGTGTCAGAACGTACGTAATGTAGTAGTTATATATATATTAGCATTCTAAGCAAGTAATTTTATTTTCAGGCTTATACTACCTTGATGCCTTGTATGAAAAAGTAGTACGTGTGGATCTGCCGGATGGTGGTAACCAACAGATGTTGTTAGAGAATGAGCCTGATCTAAAATCCCTGAAGGTGTTCCAGAAGCGGCCAGGTGAGATGAAAGACTTAAGTAAGTGTTTTACACCGCTTTTCTGCGTGCACCCCTCAAATCAAACATTGACACAGCTTTTTTTTTTTTTTTTAGTTAAATTTTATAATTTTTATTGTTTTAATTGATCTGACTCTCCCTAATATCTGTATTAGACTAATTTGCAGTTAGTGATGTACTTAAAGTTTTGTTTCAGGTACCATTAGACATATTTTTAGTGTGTTTCAAAATGATCTGGAAACTTTTTGCTACATCCCACTTTAGAAGGATAGTATAATTTATCTGTGACTTTAAAATGAGCATGTTCAACCAATAAAAGATACTTTGTAAACTTTAGTAGGTTGTGAACTTCACGTTATTCCCACATACATCTGCCAAGCAGAATATATTCTTTGAAGTATGCTGTTTAAATAGATTATTAAGTTACATGTGGATTAACCTTAAGATGCATATACCCATTAGGATCTCTTCTTGAGGTTATCTTGATGATTTCGGGGCTTTTAGTGTCCCCGCGGCCCGGTCCTCGACCAGGCCTCCACCCCCAGGAAGCAGCCCGTGACAGCTGACTAACACCCAGGTACCTATTTTACTGCTAGGTAACAGGGGCATAGGATGAAAGAAACTCTGCCCATTGTTTTTCGCTGGCGCCTGGGATCGAACCCAGGACCACAGGATCACAAGTCCAGCGTGCTGTCCACTCGGCCGACCGGCTCCCAGGATACTGTTAATCTATTCACTTTACATTGTTTTAAGAGTAAACTGTATTATATTAAAGATTGAGCTTGGGAGGCTATGGGAAAAGTATAGATATATCTATTACAAGTGTGGAATTGGGCTTGTGATGACTAAACTCGTATGTTGTAAAAATCGGCTTCTGTGAATTAATACAAAAGATCATAACTATTGTTTTTTGGTATTGGCTACAAGTACTACTTGAAGATAGGTTATTATTAGCATGGAGAGAAAGGTTAACAATACATATGTTGTAAAAATCGGCTTCTGTGAATTAATACAAAAGATCATAACTATTGTTTTTTGGCATTGGCTACAAGTACTACTTGAAGATAGGTTATTATTAGCATGGAGAGAAAGGTTAACAATACAGTCACAACTCACTTGTTTTCCTGTTTCTAAAAGTGATCAGTCGAGATACATTAGTGAGAGTCATTTTAATTGTCATAGATTCTGCATAAAGGTTGCTTGCATGTAAGTAAGCATTCTCAACTGTCAGTAATGCACTTCCCATCATACATTGCACCAACGCTTGTAATTTCCCCACTGATTGTTTTATTTTGCACATTAAGTTCTTGATATTGTTAATGCTTGATTTGGGTAAGTGGCATGCTGTGTGTTCCTAAGGGCTCTGGTGATAATCGAGTATTAACTGTAATAAAACAAATTTTGTTTTTCAGATTCCTGTTTTTACTTTACTTGTGATATAAAATGTTGTAAAGTACTGGTACTAAAGGATATTATTAAGACAGGTTCCTGCTGTGAGACAGGAACTTATGTCTACTGATGAGACAGTCTTATCAGGTTGACTCTGGCAAAGGTGTCAAAGACTAAAAAGATATGTTATATTTTTTGTCTTCATTGTAATCTTAATTATGTATGTGTAGCTAGATGTTGAAGGATACTTTAGCATTGTAGTGTTTGGCCCGTGTATCACTTACTGACATGATTACTCGGATAATATCAGGTATTTCTGAATTCATCTAATCTAACCTTCATGTTACTCCGGTCACTATATATAATTTTCCCCCATTTGATGTGTTAACTATTTTAGTTAGGTGCACCTCGATGTAGTACAGTACTTTTAAATAACTGTGCAGTTCAGGGGTTAATTGTGAATACTCATTATGAATAGTTAACCTAGTAAATTAATAGGTGGATGGATGATAACAAAAATAGAAAACAAATATTAACTTTTAGGATTTAGAATTGTAATACTGTATGTAGTATTATTTTTACAGTGTATTTACAGAAACTTTGAAGTGAATATGATAGGCATACTAAATGTCAGTTTAAGTGGCACCATTGAGGACATACAGCGCTAAACTCACAACAAACCATGAATAACTTATTAGAATAAAAGAAAAGTTGTTGTACGTTTTTTAAAATTTTAAATAACTTTTGCAAATACTGTACCTGAACCTAATTTCACTTTGTGACTACCAAATATAAGAAATGAGTTAGTGAAGTTCACCTTTCAGACATATAAATAAACACAATAGGATGAGGGGAACTCTGTAAATAACACATTATGAGTATATTTTCTATGGACTAAATAAAATGATTTATTATAAATATGATATGTAAAAACTGATTCCATTTCCTTATATAGGCTAGATGATGTTTACTGCTCTACATGTACATGTACACTTCAGCTGCTATGTTTAAATATAGTAAGGAGGAAAAGGGAACTATCAGGAGAGTCTTAAGCCATTACGACTATATAGCACTTGGAAAGGATCAGGATAAGGATTTGAGATGGGATGGGGGGGGGGGGAATGGTGCCCAACCACTTGGATGGTTGGACAATTTCTTGAATGCGAGGCAGGTATTTGACACTGAAATACACCAAGTATGAATTATGGTTTGCCTAGCATTAGTTGTTCTATACATTATATGCAATATAATGATTAGGAAGTGGTAGTAATAAAGTAATATACACTTACATGGTTCACCACACGAATATTTCACTCCTTTAAGCTCTCTAACTTCTCCTTCCACTCTTTCTTAAATTTACTACTCGGCTCTCTTAAAATGCTGAGTGTCTGCCTTTGCTATATTATTCCCTTATTTCACAATGTAGTACAGAAAACAAGATGCTTTTTCATATGGTAATAAACCCATGGAAGTGCCTACCTGCCAAAGTTGTAAATGCAAAGACATTACTGTACTTCAGTATAAAATTCAGCTGGAAAAAATCCTCATAAATAAGGGGGGAGGACCTTTGACAATCTGCAGGCTTCCTGTTACTGTTGAGGCTTCTAGAGATGGTGGCCACAAGTAATTTCAGGTAAATTCAGAATCCAATGAAATGGTCAACTCATCCTGCAGTTGCACTGTAAACAACTGCATGAAGAGGAAACCAGTAACATCCTCCTACTGTGGCTATGCCTTAGTCTTAGTTGGCCCATGCCAGCCAAAGATGACTGATATTGAAGCCGCATGACTAGTGTCCATGATTGAGATGGGTCTAGTTGTTTTAGAAAATTTCCTGAGTGTCATAGTTTCTCTGGGTTGTATGATTGATCTCTTATCATAGATTTTATTTACCATGTGGATAGACAGATCATTCAATGCCTGACATTATCTGTGTGTTCCAAGGGTTATCTTCTTGAGGTTATCTTGAGATGATTTTGGGGCTTAGTGAAATGTATTTTGAAGTTAATATTTTTGGGAGTGTGGAATGGATTAAATTCATACATGGAGGTACCACTCTATTAGGAATTTAATTCTATATTATCAAATGTAGTATACTGTACTGTCAAATAATATTTTAGATTTTTTTCCTTGTTCTTTTTTTTTTATATAAGAATGCTTAAATTCTTCAACTCACGTAGTTCTGAATGTTATGCTGCAGAGAAAAGCCTCTGGCCCAAATCCTAGCTTGTGGTCAAATTTCCTTCATACTCTAGACTTTTTACTTTTTGTTTTCAGTTATAAACTCAAATCCATGTATGGTGGGCAATGGTGGATGTGAACATATATGCATTCCAAAAATTAGCAAACAACGAGCCTGCAGATGCACAACTGGTTACAAAGCTGATGGTGAAAAAGCCTGCAAACCTTATGACAAATTTGCAATTGTATCACAGTTGGAGATTGTGCGAGGCTACAGCCTAGATGGAGCAGGAGAGGCAATGTCTCCTATTGCTGGCCCAGGTGAGTTCGTTCATGTTCATATAAACAGTTATACTATATTGAAGTAAGTAATTTGTAATACTGTGAATGTAAGGCATAAGTAACAAGGGATATATATATATATAGCTGTAATAGTGTTTAAATTAATTCTTTATATGCTTATATACAAATTTCCATGTTTTCCAGGTCACAATGTTCTCCACATAGATTTTCACTATTCCAAGAACTTTTTATACTGGATTGAATTCAATCAGGGTGGATCCAATGGTATCTATCGATCAAGGCCTAATGGTTCTGAATATGAAGGTATTGTCACGGACGGTATTGGATCTAATGGAATCCGTGGCATAGCTATTGACTGGATTGCCAATAACATGTATTTTACCAATGTGTTCCCTCATGAAACTTATGTTGAAGTATCTTGGCTGGATGGAACTAACAGGATGGTCCTAAAGAGTTTAACGAAAGACTCTCCAAGAGAACTGGCAGTTAATCCAATAAAGAGGTAAGCCATTAAACTAAATCCAAGTTTTAGCCCTTGAACTATCTTAATAATCTCATAAATGTAGCTTTAAATATACAATACTGTTTATTAAATGCACTTTTCTGACCAGTACATTTAGTTGCTCCATATGTCAAGATCCTACTGACCTCTGGTTACAATGTCACAGTATGACTAGAAAGACTCATGTGAACTTGTTAGGCTAACGGTCTAATCACCTAATGGGTCACTACCATTGACTGTTACCAGGTGATTGTACTGACACCACTTTCCACCTGAATCCTAGGCAGAGATAAAATCCCTACAAAACACAAGGGGAAATGGGGAAGAAAGTATAAGGTCATGAGCTATAAAGCCATAACCTAAAGTACGAACTCACAGAATCCGTCCTTACTTTCTTATTTAGAGTATATTATATATATTTTTATAATATATATTATATAATATATATTATATATATTTTAGTTCATATACCCAGTGCCAGGTTTCAGAACATTTCCTCAGTTGCAAAAGCCACCCTAACTACAACCTGGGCTGTGAAGCTTAATGACCTCTAACGATATCTCCTCTGAGGCAGTTTGGCTCCCTTCAGTTGGTCCAACTTTTTTTTGAGTTAGGCCTTTACCTTGTTATGTTTTGGGACTTTATATCTCACTTGAAACCTTCACATAATCAGCATTTTCTTGAGAGACTTTTTCTGGTCTATGTCATCTACTGAGACCCAGGCATGGGGTTTTTGACATTTGAAATCGGACCATCACCACCCGGTTTTTAATGACTTTCTATGTCCCTGCTGCATGTGAGTTGCCTTGTTTCGAATAGAGCTTTAAGTGGAATGTGATGTCCCTTTCTGAGAGGCATCTAGGCTGCTCCCAGTTTATGCTCAATTACCCTATGACCTTTCATCAGTTTGCTTGGGTGCTCTGGGCTTAAAGTGAACATAGCCACCTCCCCACATCAGTTGTGCAGTATTATATGTACATTTTTGGGCTTTACCAGTAAAAATGTGGCCAATTCAGATGTCCGGCAATCACGGATGGAAGTGGGCTCCACATGATCTGGATTACCTAGCATAGACAGTACTGGTGTTGTCACCTAGTGGCAGTTGAAGTAGTGGGTAGTTTGCTAGTTATGGAATCTCAGATCAATTATTGGTTATTTTAGAGGGATTGTTGGAAGGGAGTGTCGTGTGGTTTGTTGCATTCTTTGGTGTTTTAGGGAGCTTTTTCTGTGATGAATTAAGGTATGCTCTGCATTGCTTTTTGCTCCTAAAATGTTGGACAAAACCATTTATAGAGTTGCTTGTCTTGTTAGGGCTCAACATCAGTCAAGCTTAGCATAATAGCATGTTTGATGAATCCATGGGTATGTCTCTGGGCAGCCACGAAGTTGTCCTTCTTGAAGGGTTTTCTTTCTACTCGATTATTTAAAGTTAACGTCTTATTGTCAGTAAAATGTGCAAATTAAATTAAGTCATTGAAAATTAAGTAATGTACTACAGTATAAGTTTTGCTTTATCTCTACATCAGCAGTAATTATTAAGTTATTTTATTTTTGTATTTTTTCCAGGTATTTGTATTGGCTTGATTACGGACAGTTTCCCATGATAGGCAGATCGTACCTTGATGGTACAAACTGGAAGCCAATTGTGACTCAGGGAGTTAGTAACCCACGTGACCTCACCATTGACATGTTTTCTCATGATGTTTATTGGGTTGATGCAACTTTGGATGCCATCAACAAAGTTAGTACCGATATCACGGACTGCATTGTACTTGAAAATATACACTTATTTTATGCTTGACATGAGTATAAATTTTAAATAATATGTCTGAATTGGCTTGGTTTTATATTTTAACAAATAAAAGCCTAGCTTAAGTATAAATAATTAAATTTGTATCGTTGAAAATTACAGGTTAGCTTCAGTGGTGGAAACCGACAGTTTATTCGTCGTAATTTACCAAATCCCATGGGTCTTGCTCTTTACAATAATCATGTGTACTGGATTGACCGTAACCTTGGCACCATCTTTCGGGCGTCCAAATACCCTGGCAACACAACTCAACCGGAACGATTCAAGACCAATATGGACAGTCTTAGGGATATTGCCATCTTTGATGTCAGCAATCAGCCATCTAAGGTACAGTATATAATAAAATGTAGAATTATTTCAATAGATAGAACACATGAGAAACAGAACAGAGGAGTTTATGTAATAATTGTGACTTTTTTATCTGTATTTATAATAACAGCAATAATAATAATAATAATAATAATAAATAATAATAATAATAATAATAATAATAATAATAAAGAAGTACTGTACATGTGTATTATATAGAAGTGTAAAAGATGGAGAGTCAATTAGAATTGTTATTATTGTTATTATTATTTTATTATTATGATTATTTGATAATAATTGCCCTAATGGATTTTTTCATTATTATTATTATTGACAAGTTTCATAGTTATTATGTTCATTTGGTCCCTAAGGCAAGTTCCTGGTTACCCTAGTTAGGATTAGTTCAGTCAGGGCAGACTGACATTCTGCAATGGGAACATTTCAAGCTGTTCCTGCAAGTTATACGGATGAAAGAGAGAGAACGAAGAATACACAGTCCAACTCAGAATGCTGCCTAAAAGTGCATTTACATAGAATTCAAGGTGGAGAATCTCAAATGCACCATTGGATGTACTGTTCATCAAATCCCAGGAAACATGCTTTAAACAAGTTGTGCACAGAAATGTGAACTATGGATATACATATCAATAAGAACATGAGAATATCTTTGGGATTAGGCCACAAACAAAGAGGTGCACATAAAAGTTAGCCATATATTGCAATACATGTGGATGACTGTGTTGTACCAGCCTGTACACAGAAAGATGTGGGCAGATATCAAAACCCATACCCAGCATACTCTAAGCCTAAGCATACAAGATATGAAGCACAATCAATATAAAGAATGCCCCACAAAACCCAGGCTCTCGAGCTTGGGTGAGATCCATTGGAGCCAGGCTCTCAAGCCTAGACCAAATTCTGTTGCAACAGGGACACAAAATGGTGAGGACAGCCATGAGCTGAAAACAAAAAACAAACAGAAACCACATTTTCAGAGAAGGTATGGAACCATTATATAGGTAACAACGTGAGCGCCCACCCAAATGTGCATGACTAACAATACCCTCGTGGTAAATTGAAAGTCCACTACCAAGGCCTCAAATGAAATCCCAAGACACAGTTAAAGTAGTGATACAACACAAGAGGAGCTTAACCACACCAAAAGAAATGCCAAACAGTCCCAGAGAAAATAACTCTTAAAAGCTGTCATCCCTCAACATTCATCATCAAGGAAGACAGTCATATAACAAAGTTGAAGTGGACAGCAATAGTCAGATTCATGCAAGTGATTGAACATCACACTCTGAAATGAGTACTTAAAGCATGAGAACCTCAGTGTAGAAGAGTTTCAAGTAACAACCAATTAACTTAATCAGCTACCAAAGCAGGCAAACAGAATAAGGAATGCTATAAGTGAGGGATTCCTGCTCCTCTCTTGTGCATAAAACACAAGATAATTGTAAGAAAATGGGGTGATATGATGTTTGGGAATACACTTGAATGCACCAAATAGGTGGTGGTGAGGGACAATACAGCCTAGAAATGTGAGTGCAGTGAAACCCACATTACCAAAACAACAACTTGTGTGCTGTGAACCACACACCCCTAACACACATGTACTGATCCACCCTCATACTCAACATTTTTGTGTTGAAAAAATGAAACATCGCATAGCTAGAAATTTGTTTTCTTTTAATTTTTGCAAATAAATAACTAATTGCACACAACATATAAGTAGTTTGGAGAGTGCTGTCATTGAGACCTCAATATTTAGCTCATGGACAAACCATGTATCGTCATTCACAATAATGTGTTTTCTGTATTGATAGATTCCTAAATGTATAACTGGATACGTTATATATCATGTACAATACTGTATATGTTGAATGTTAGCTTTTGTGTCACATAAACTTAACAGTATATTGGGTTTCTTTAGTGGTTTTCTATTTACAGGCTGATACACCTTGTACAAGATTGGGTAATGGAGGCTGTGCTCAACTCTGCTTCTCTTTTCCTGTTGACCAACCAAATATTGCTAGATTCCGATGCGACTGTGCTTCGGGGATATTGTCTGAGGACAAACGAAGCTGTGAAGATTCTAAAGAATTTCTAATCTTTGCAACAAGATCAGAAATTCGTAGCCTCTCTCTGACACCCAAGAGCACCATTGTGCCATTTGACACAATTAAGGGTTTAACCAATGTTGTTGGCATTGATTTTGACTACAATGACAAGCAATTTGTGTTCACACAGATAAGACCAGACACAAAAATTGCTATGATTCCCAGCTCATCACCATCTGCAGGTGACATAAAGACAATCCTGGATCAAGGGATTAATCCTGAAGGCGTAGCATACGATTGGACGTCAAAGAAGATTTATTGGACAGACTCTGCTAATAACAGCATTTATGCCATGAATACAGATGGCTCACATATTGTCATGATCATTCAAGTAGATCGACCACGTGCAATTGTCTTGGATCCCTGCAGAGGGTAAGTGTCTCAGTGTAGCCATGTAATTATTTATACATCTTACAGATGACCACTTTTGATAATAGTAATAAATGTAACAATATGTACCCTGTGGTTTGGTTTTACTGCGTTAGGACAATGTTGATCAAGTAGCGCATACAATTTAATGTATTGAACATACAGTATTTACTTTAATTAGTCTGCTATTTATAGTTTTAGAAGAACTCTTAATAGATTAATGAAAAAGGGCTTTTGTTAGTTTTACAAGACAGTTAAAAAAATTGTCCAGACCAATGTGAGAAGTAAAGCCGATCTTCCTGTTCAAAAACCTTAGGAGTTGAAGTTTGTAACCAGTAATTATAGGAGAGAGAAACCAGACGAGTGTGTGTTAACTGAGGTATCATGACTGAAGCCTGTCTTTCAGAATACTTCATTTTACTCTTATTTATTGGCTATGGAGAATGTCAGATCATTCATACCTAATTAGTTAATTACTAATATCCAACTCCTGCATTTCAATATAATACTCACTACCTCCTCCATTCATGTACTATATTGCATTTAATCCTATCACATTAGTGTTGCATAATAACATAGTCAGTACTAAATACAAGGATTAGGTAGTATTTCTGCTATGTAGCTTATTCAGAAATTGAAGGTTAAAATATCTCATAAAATATGGTGTAGAAGCATTGTTATAGAGTCAGAGATTTCTGACAGTTATTAAATTTTAAATTTGGCAAATCTGTCCAGGGATTGTCTGTTAAGAGGAGTACAGACTGAATCCTTTGTGTAATTTTGTTTATAGTTTCAACTACTGTTACTTCATTCAGCAATGTCCAGTTGTCCCATAGACATATTAATGTACCAGCCTGATTAGTGCGACCTCATCCCTCATGTACTGGGATAGCCTCAATCCAAGCACTGGACCCACCTTCATATTTTCATGATGTTATTAATGATCAAAATAATTCTGTACTGTTGCTAGAACGGCAGATTCCATAATGTAATAGTCTATGCCTGTCATTATCACCTGTATATTGTATATCATTTGTTATAGTTCTTGAGCATTCACCTACTTCTTTATTCTCATTTATTGTTGTTTACCCCATTATACCTATAAATAGTTTTATCTAAATTCTTCTAAGTTTTGCTTGAAATGCTTTGCATAATAGTGGCTTCATTTTTAAGTGTAACCCCTGTACCTACAATTGTCCCATCTTATTTTCTTTGTATGCACACTCTTATGAATACAATTATTATTACTACTATTGTGTTGGTTACTCATTGTTAATACTTTGGATATTATTAGTAGACAATTTAAATGATGCTCATGTCAATGCTGCAGGCACATGTATTTCACCGACTGGGGAAGGTTTGGTACTTCTGGCAAGATTTATCGTGCCACAATGGCAGGATCATTCAGAGAGGTAATCATTGGTGATGATCTCTCCCAGCCTAGTGGCCTGGCTATTGACTATGAAGAGGAGATGCTTTACTGGACGGATGCTGTAAAGGAGAAGATTGAAAGATCTTACCTGAATGGAACAAAGAGAGAGGTTAGTAAGCATATGATTTTCAAAGTTGGGTGAAGCAATACAGGTTTTGCAGTATGTGCCTCAAGTATAACAGCTATTATGGAACTTGTATTATCCTGTTCACAGAATGAATAATAATGGTATAACATAGTAATATTTGTTATCAGGCCAGTAAATATACAGTATTTTGGGCATATCTTAAAACAAACAAGGAGGCAGTATATGTAATTATCAACTTTTTTTTTACAGAGCATATTTAAAGAGATTTTAATTAAAACCTGTCCATTAAATCTAGTGAGATTTTAAAGGACACAATGTTAGACAAAAATGATTAAAATAAGTTTTTGTTTTTTTTCAGCTTCTCATCTCGGCAACTATTTATCCTTTTGCTATAACAGTTCATAAGAATTACATATACTGGACTGATCTTCAGCTTCGGGGAGTATTCCGAGCAGAGAAATATACAGGAGGTGACATGGTAGAAATGGTTCGCAGGCTAGAAGAATCTCCAAGAGACATCCATGTTTTCTCTGCCGAACGTCAGACTTGTGAAACAAATTTGTGTGAGATCAACAATGGTGGATGTGCCCAATCTTGCCATCCAAGCACTGATAATAAGGTAGTGTGTTTTGTTTAACTTGGGAGCATAGCTCTCTAATACAGTATTTTGTTGTCAACTGAATTGTAATGCTGGTATGTTTTAGATTTTTATTTTGTTGTTTATCAGAATTTACCCTACAGTAGTTAAAATTCTGCAAATAAGTAATTCTTCCCAAGTGTAAAATTTGCCATCTGGTTGATTTTTAGAAGTTTTTGTATGGTAATAATGGATCAGCATTATGTCAATACTGAAGTCTCTAAAAATGATCAATATATTAAAAATCAATCAGTATATAGTCTTATATTTGGTCTGTAAGAAAACAAAAATTTTCCAATCTAGAAAGTCTAAAAAAAATTCCTAGTGGATACTTATGCAAAACTGAATCGTGTGTTTTTTTTATTATTCTTGCATATACTAGAATGTACATATATATCTGGTGTGATTGGAGTGAACTCCTGAACACACCAGAGAAGTAACTGTCAGTGCAAGGGCAATGCTAGATTAGCACCCAGGGATGGGGTCACCCTGAGCACATGCTGCTCGAAGCATACCTGGAGCATACCTGAAGAGGGTTTCGGGAGTTCTACTTTCCGAGTCCGGCCTGAGGCTATGCTTGAAGTTTAAAAATTACCAACAAGCAAATGGCCATCAGCGACAGTACTGACCTTGGAGCCAGCTGTTGGCTGTGAGCTCTGGATTGCCTGATGGCAGCCATCGGTATTAACAGATTTGAGCTAATTTTCAGTAAACTAGTTGTTAAGAATGTATTGTTTGTAGAGGTGTTTGATTTTCATTGCTTCATTTCTTATAAATCTTGCAGTTGTCTGTAGAGCTTTGCTGGCTTTCTGGATGGCTCTGGTCTCCAGTAGGCCAAGTAGTGGAGACTCATCTCAGTAAGAGAGCTTTAGGGAGCCAGCCACTAAGTGGCTACTTCCAGAAATACAAATATGCAAGGGATGAGGTATATCTCTAGGGGCCTCATTCCTTGCATATCATCCCTAGTTAGGAGCCTTAACTGGTACAGTAGAGGGTGGTGAACATTTGCCTTGGTTTAATATTTACATATTAATTTATATGGAAACATTGTGTGGGGCACCGTGACAACAGCAGCTAAAATGATTTGTTCCCTTTTTATTTTAAGGTTGAGTGCAAGTGCAATGCAACTCTGAAGCTAGTCAATGAAAACAAAATGTGTGTGCCGCAGAACTATAGTTGTGATGTAAACAAATTCTATTGTGCAAATGGGAAATGTATATCTCGCTTGTGGGCCTGTGATGGCTCTGATGACTGCGGTGATAACTCTGATGAAGATAGAAACTACTGTAGTAAGTATTAGTGATGTTTATTATTTGTTAGTTTTTGGTTACAAAATGCAGTAAGAAAATTAGCTATGACACATAAAATCATTTATGTATTTAAGCATAGAAAGGGTTCATTTCTAAATATAATTAAAATGATCTTGGAACAGCTTACCACACGTGCAGTCCTAGCGAGTTCCGATGCAAGAATGGTCGTTGCATTTTCTCCACTTGGAAGTGTGATCACGAAGATGATTGTGGTGATGGGTCAGATGAAGAAGGCTGCGAGTATCCTCCATGTGCTGAGGGAGAATTTACATGTGCTAACCATCGTTGTGTACCACTGTCACAGGTTGGCTTCTTAACTTTTTTTAGTTATGTTATTTAAGAGAGTTTACAGGTAATTCTGTTATAAATTGTGTGGTTGATACAGTCGAGTCTTTATCATTGGTAATTGGTGTCAGAGATGCCTTTGTTTTTATATACATGCACATTTTTTATATATATACACACACACTCACTCACTCACTCACTATATCTATCTACCTATCCATCCATCCATCCATCCTTGTATCTCCCCCCTTGGTCTCCTACCTGACCTTCTTCCCAGGATGCTACTCCACATGAGTTGTACATATTGTACACATTCTTCTTCTCCTGAGCATCAAAAGCATTCATATACTGAATCACCCCTAAGATGTTCACAAATTTCCTCCTTGCCTTTGTTATTCCTCGATTCTCTTCTTCTTTACCATTATCAGACTATCGTCTTACTCATCCTGCTGCTGCTTATTGTATGGTTTCTTGTTGATTGGGACAGAAAGCCTGTATTTAAGCTTTTTGAATTTCCCTTTAGCCAACTAGAGGGATCTTCTGCAGGATGTTCATATTGCAAGATACAGTGTCAGGCTAAGTTCTGCAGAAAGAGGTCATATTGGTTTTTGGAAAAATAGTAGGTTCTACACTGTACTCATATGGGTATACCTTTTATATTTTTAGTTGTGCAATGGTGTAAATGACTGCAAAGATAAGCACACTTCCGATGAAACAAGTGAACGATGTCCTGAGGTAACGTGCCCGCCAAACCACCTCAAGTGTTCAAATACAACCATCTGTGTGGAACCATATTGGTTGTGTGATGGCGACAACGACTGTGGCGATAACTCCGATGAAAATGCCCTTCACTGCTCAGACAGATCATGCCCGCCTAATAGCTTCAGGTAAAATATACAAACTTTGAATATTGAACTACTGTATACTTTTCTACTTGCCCTTCCATAAGTTTGTAAACATCTTTTGCATATAGAGTATTTTTTTAATATCGAATTTCCTGTATATGACTAAGTTTGGTAATGCAAGTTATAGATGAAATTATATGATAAACCATGAAAAAACGTTTGGTGTATAATAATGTATATTCTCGGATTATTAAAATGACTTTTATGTATATGTCGGTAGATGTCCAAATCATCGGTGTATTCCGGGTACCTGGCACTGTGATGGTGATGATGACTGTGGTGATGGTGCCGACGAGCCTGGTGAATACTGTGAGCAAGAGGGTCGCACGTGCTTTGGAGACCTTTTTACCTGTGACAATGGCAACTGTGTACCAAAGATCTACATCTGTGATGGCGATAATGATTGTTTGGATGGATCTGATGAAGATGACAGACATAAGTGCAGTGAGTTTATTAAGGAATTTGTTGAGCTGTACTGAACTTTATACCTGGTTTTGTTTCAAAACTAATACCACAGATAGTCCTAATGTTGGTTTATAAGATTTAGTATTTTTTTTTTATTCCAGATTGCTCTTATATAAGCCCATTCTTACTATTCAGTGTAATCATTTTAATTTCAAGAATCTTTTCAGAGGAATAATTGCCCAAGATCAATTTTTTTAATGATGACAATGACTTGTAATTTGTTTTTTCTTCAGACAACCGCAGATGTGATGACGAAACTGAATTTACATGCAATGCGAATAAACAATGGGGCCGAGCAATGTGCATTCCCAAAAAATGGGTGTGTGATGGTGACCCAGATTGTGTTGATGGTGCTGATGAGAACTCCACAATGTTGTACTGTCCTCCACCAGAAGATTGTGGCGATAATGAATTCAGGTGTAACAACCGACGATGCATCAGTAAGGTGAGTACGGCTGTGTTCAACTTATGTTTGTAATTTTACAAATGAATACCATTTTTATTGGACTTCCCAGCATGGACATGCTGCACCCTTGGGCCTTGCAGGAAGTTCTCTTCTTCAGGCTGTGCTCTTAGGTCGATTTCCTAGGACTTCTTTGCTTTCATTGGCTTTGGCCCTGTCTTTGCCTGGAAATTCCCTCCAGATACAAGCTGATATTGGTTTCGCTCATGTAGCAAGTGGAGTTCTTCCTGCTCAGTGTTTCCATTTGCAAGAAGTCCAAAGTTTCCCCTGTTGGACTTTGTTTTTGGTCACTTGTGGGGTGTTGGTCTCCAGCACTGAGGTTTCTTCTTCTTGCTGGTTGGACTTGAGTGCCAAGGGTTGTATTTAGTAGCATTTTACTCTTCACTGGTGTAGCTCTTGACTGGCTCTGAATTGGCCGATTTCATTCTCATATGTTATGGTCTTGGGCTTGTGTTTTTATGCCTCTTCTTGCTCTTTCTTTTCCTTATGCCTGTTCAATTGGGGGCATTGTTTGATTTCTGGATGGCCTTTCTGGCAGCCTGCCCTTTTGGGATGGGATACGTTCTGCAGTTTTTCTGTGGCGTGTTCTGGCATGCAGCCATACTCTGGCATGCAGGCGTGCTCTGGCATGCAGGTGTGCTCTAGCATGCAGCCATACTCTGGCATGCAGGCATGCAGGCGTACTTTGGCATGCAGGCATGCTCAGGCATGCTTTGGCATGCAGAGCATGCCAGAGTATGTCTTCCCTCATTTGTGGCCTGGTGAGGATGGCTTAAAAAGATCCCTACTACATTGAGGATGTAACTATCGCACTGATCAGGCTGAAATTTGATAGTTCTGGGGAGAGCTGGACGTGGCATTAAATAAGTGTGGCTGGGTGGCCTACTTGGAGAGGAGCTTTTTATATGTAATCAAAGTATTGTACTATATATGGAATTGCTTGTCTTGAAACAGATGTGGAACTGGGAATACTGTTGATCATAGTAATGAATGAAAGCATAATATATAACAAAGATGCAAATACTGTAATCTTTTTGATTCCAGGACTGGGAGTGTGACTTCGACAATGACTGTGGTGATGGCTCGGATGAAGGACTTGCATGCAATAGTAAATATCGTGTATGTACGACTGATGAATTTAACTGTACCAATGCCAAGTGTATACGCAAAACCTACCATTGTGATGGAGAAGATGATTGTGGGGATAACTCAGATGAAGTTGGATGTGGTAAGTTTTTAGTTTCCTGTCTGAGCATAAATTAACAAACTTTTAGCATTTGTACAAAGTAAAAATTCTCTCAAATATTGGTACTGTACCTTCTGATGCAAACATTGGATAGTTTCAAGACTTCAAAAATTTGGGTCCTGTATTTGTCAAGGAGAATATCAAATATCAATATAGACTAGTCAGTTTTTAATTTTAACACAGAATGTATCGGTAATTGAGAGACTTTGCTAAGTGATTGGTTTATTCTTGGCGAGCATTAGAGTAGTATATTACATCCAGATTTTTGCCATGACATTGTTTGATAAGTATTTTACTCCAAATTTTATTATTTTTTAAATATTATTTTCATAAATATATCAAACAACATTTTGTATACTCTATCTACTATATTATCTATGTTGTATGAGAGGATACGGAAGTTAAAAGCACTATAATCTGGTAAGCATCAAAGATTGTGAACAGCCTGAACAGATTATTTCAAGAATATTGTGCAGATTAAATGTGGGTTTGTGTGAAAACTTTGAGAAAGGATATGGCAGTCCCACCACTTGGTGGTACAATTTTTTTTTTTTTTTTTTTTTTTTTTGAGATATATACAAGAGTTGTTACATTCTTGTACAGCCACTAATACGCGTAGCGTTTCGAGCAGGTCCCTGGAATACGATCCCCTGCCGCGAAGAATCGTTTTTTCATCCAAGTACACATTTTACTGTTGCGTTAAACAGAGGCTACAGTTAAGGAATTGCGCCCAGTAAATCCTACCCGGCCAGGATACGAACCCATGACATAGCGCTCGCGGAACGCCAGGCGAGTGTCTTACCACTACACCACGGAGAAATGGTCTCGTATCTTGTGATAAAGAGGAGATTGAGCTGGTGACCCATCTCTTTCATCTCTCCATTAATGGGACAGTGCCTCTCAACTAGTCTGAAAATGGGAAATTGAATAGTCATCATGAGAACATTTAAAAAATAGGGAATTGAGTAAAATGAAATGGCCCTGTTTTGACCCAGTCCCTCAAGTGCTCCTTTTATCCAGCAGCCAAAAGTGTTTTATCTAGTGTATAGAGGCATGTTTTGCCCTCAGACACCAATAACATGTTCACTAGCCATGACAAGTTACATTCCAAACATTATGGTCATGTACTGGTAGTTGGGGAACAGAGACAGTGGCATATCTAACTCAAACCACCGCTGATACCAACTTGTTATCTTACAAAATCTCAACATTCTATTATACAAAAGAACTAACATTAAACTTGACAAATCCCCACAAAACGAAAACTGAAATAAAATTATGTAATTGCTCTGCTTTGCAATCAGCTGCTATCTCAACTGCAACAAGTTGGCATCAGCGCACCACAACAGGCTCAGTTGCTCCTATGACCAAACTCCAGTGAAGGAAAGATCTATTAACAAAAACACAGGTGCCAGGTGACTCAATAAGGAGATGAAAGAGGAGAGGAGCCACTGGGTGGAGAGACAACTGATGCCAAGGCAACAGAACTGTTGCAGGCCATCCATCAACAGAACTCTTCCATCTGCAGGAAGCAGATGGAAGAGAACTAGTGCAGAGCAACACACTGCTATGGGTACAAGAACCAGTGCAGAGCAACACACTGCTATGGGTACAAGAACCAGTGCAGAGCAACACACTGCTATGGGTACAAGAACCAGTGCAGAGCAACACACTGCTATGGGTACAAGAACCAGTGCAGAGCAACACACTGCTATGGGTACAAGAACCAGTGCAGAGCAACACACTGCTATGGGTACGAGAACCAGTGCAGAGCAACACACTGCTACGGGTACGAGAACCAGTGCAGAGCAACACACTGCTAAGGGTACGAGAACCAGTGCAGAGCAACACACTGCTACGGGTACGAGAACCAGTGCAGAGCAACACACTGCTACGGGTACGAGAACCAGTGCAGAGCAACACACTGCTACGGGTACGAGAACCAGTGCAGAGCAACACACTGCTACGGGTACGAGAACCAGTGCAGAACAACACACTGCTACGGGTACGAGAACCAGTGCAGAGCAACACACTGCTACGGGTACGAGAACCAGTGCAGAGCAACACACTGCTACAGGTACCTGGCAAGGAAAGTACAGTATGGTTCGATTGCTAGAACCAACTGACCCATATCTCTGAGCAGGACATTGCAAAAATGAATGGAGTTATAGTAGCATACTTCCTAATGTTATGGACTTTGAAATAAACACAGACCTGATTAAGCTTCACTATCCTGCAGAGGAACTCTGAGAAAACCAATATGAAAAGATTGAAAAACGGCACAAGAAAACTAAAAAACAATTTGGTGAATAAAGTGCTTAAAGCCACAAAATAACAAAAGATGCAACGAACTCTAAGCTGAACACACCTGAAACTCACGTCCCTAGAAGACAGAAGAGCAAGGGAAGACATGATAACTACCTACAAAATTCTCAGGGGGAATTGACAGGGTGGACAAAGACAAACCCTTTAGCACAGGTGGAGCATGCACTAGGAGTCACAGGTACCCAAATGAGCCACAGAGACATTAGAAAGAATTTTTTTAGTGTCAGAATAGTTAGTAAATGGAATGCATTAGGCAGTGATGTGGTGGAGGCTGACTCCATACACAGTTTCAAATGTAGATATGATATGACGAGTCCAGTAGGCTCAGAAATCTGTACACCAGTTGATTGATGGTTGGGAGGCGGGACCAAAGAGCCAGAGCTCAACCCCTGCAATCACAAATAGGTGAGTACACCAAGACTTCACCAAATTAGAACTAGTTAAAGGCAGGAACTCATTACAGTACAGTAGTAAGAAATGAAGGTGGCAAGAGCCATACAAACTAATCACCATCACCAAAGGACAAAGGTTCTAGAAGGTTATCCAGGGCATAGAACTTTCCAACACGATTCCCCAAAAGGAAGAAGATTTTGAAAGTAAAATATCTGGGGAAAGGGGAGGATGACATGATTGGGAACAGCCCCATAGTGCCACTATGTCTAATAGATAAATTTCATATAATTATAAAAAAAAAATTCAATTTTTTTTAAATTATATATAGTGAGTTGCATTTGTAGGGGGCCCTAACCTCGAAGAAGAGGATATATAGCATCTGGGAAAGCCTTGTGGGGGCACCCACATACACTCACATACCACACTGCTAATTATTTGTTGCAATTTTTAATATGATTAGTTTTTAATACTGTACTTTGAAATTTTAACCAATTCTTTTTTCCAGTACCAAAGAAAAAGTGTGATCCTGGACAGTTCCAGTGTAAAAATGGAGAATGCATAGAAATGAAGTTAGTATGCAACAAAGTGAGTGAATGCTCCGATGATTCTGATGAACCACTTCATTGCAATGTTGATGAATGTGCAAAGGTGGAACTACATCAATGTGGACATAAATGCATCAATACTATCATAGGATTTGAATGTGCTTGCAACACAGGATATAAGTAAGTCATAACCAACAAACTTTTTGTCAGTTCCTATATGCAATATAGAAATATATTTTACTTGATAAGCAAAGCATTTTTTTTTAATTAATTTTATTTTTACAGATTGATGCCAGATGGTAAAGCATGTGAAGATGTTAATGAATGCAGAGAAGTTGCTGGTGTATGCTCTCAAGAGTGTTTCAACACTCCCGGCTCGTACAGCTGCAAGTGTGACGAGACTTTCTATGAACGGGAGCCAGATGGCCGAACCTGCAAGCGGCTTGATAAAACAGTTCCTTGGTTGTTCTTTACTAATAAATACTATGTGAGAAGGCTAACTACTGATGGCTCACAGTATTTGCTAATGCATCAAGATCTTAGAAATGTTGTAGCCTTAGACTTTGATGTTAAGGACAGTATGTTATACTTTGCAGATGTAACCGCAAAGACTATATACAGAGGTAAAATTAATGGCACTGAAAAAGAAGAAGTTATTAAGCATGATAGCCATGGGCTTGAAGGTCTGGCAATAGATTGGATAGGTCGAAAAATTTACTGGTTGGACAGACATAGTAAGCAGCTAGATGTAGCAGAGCTTAATGGTACCAACCGCAAAACTTTGAAAGCCAGTGGAATTAATGATCCAAGAGCAGTGGCACTTCATCCTGGTATTGGTTATGTTTATTTCACTGATTGGCACCTCCAGACTTACATAGGTCGTATTGGAATGGATGGTTCAAACTTTTCACGCATCCTTAGCTTTGATGATAAGGTAATATGGCCCAATGCCCTCACCTTTGACTATTTTACTGACAGAATTTATTGGGCTGATGCTCATCTTGATTACATTGCATATGCTGATCTCGATGGTAAAAATCGACATGAGGTCATAAGTGGTTCTAAAGTGCCTCATGTGTTTGCCATCACTGTGTTTGATGATTATATGTACTGGACAGACTGGAATTTGAAAGCTATACTGAAAGCTAACAAGTTTACGGGTGAAGATTTCCAGTTCCTCCGTAATACAACACACCGACCATATGATATTCATGTATTCCATCCTTTACGTCAGCTACCATATGACAACCCCTGTGGGGATAACAACGGTGGCTGCTCACATCTGTGTCTTCTTTCACCTACCGCTAATGGATCAGTAACATATGTCTGCGCTTGCCCGGACCAATTCTACCTAGAGAGAGATAATAAAACTTGCATTGCAAACTGCACTCGTGGACAGTTCCGTTGTGCAGGACCAGATGACAAGTGTATTCCTAAATACTGGAGGTAAGCATAAAATATTGTTACTCAATTAGTAAAGCAAATTATAGGTTTTGCAACCCTTCCTTCAAAAAAGCTACTACAAATAGTGACTGAAGTCATGTGTTCAAAAATAGACTGTAAAACAAAACAAAACAAATTCTACTATTGGTTTCCAATAGTGCAGTTAAACACTGCTCAACAAAAGATCCCATTTTTTTTATTCCCATGCAGGACAAAATGTCTATGCATGTTTCCTAAGAGTTGATGCCTCTGTTCACCTAAACAGTAAATAGCCACATGGGAATTACCCAGTTGTTGTAGGTTGTATCTTGGGGAAGTTCAGTTGTTGGCCTAGGAAAACATCGATAAGCAATAGCTTCCTGTCCCCAACAATAGGAGATCCCCCCCCCCCCTTCCCTCCCCCAAAAAATATATTAATTCTAACCATTCCTAGAGCTCATATCAGCAATTATATGCCTAATATATGAAATCTTAGGCCTAATGTAGTATATTAGGTTATGTTTTTACCTATTTTTTAAGATCTTCACAAACTAATAGTACAAAGTGCAGATGTTTTTTTGGGTGCAAAAAGCTAAATTTTGTTACATATACTCCATAGTCACTGTACTGTATGTACAGTACTTGTACTATAATTTTTTCACACATTGATATTTAAGTATTAGTAAAGAAAGCATGTGAGAAAGATTGTAAGGTATAAATGGTCGTTATGAACTTTTTAAAAGCATATGAAAAGTTTTTATATTCATTCATGTGTAAAATAGGTATGGTATGTAGTTAAAATACAGTATCAACAGTTCAGAATGTTTCACCTACATATACCTTGTCCCAACTGTTGCAGGGTAAAATATGCACTCCTTGCTGTGATGATATTGTCACCACCATTTCTGCTTGTAATGAGAATTTTGATTTTGACATGCACAACCCATATACAGTACTGACTTTATTGCTCTAGTTAGGTTAGTGTTGTTGTTTATCTTAGTTGCTCACTTTTTGTATCTATTCCCTAATGAATGATAAATGGATACATCAAACTTGTCCCCCCCTTCAATTACTATCTCACACTAGGTTCACAACTTGACACACTCTACTCCTCACTCATGACTCCATGCATGCATGCATGTATACACACATACATACATACAAAGTCAAACATATTCATTATCATTACCCTATTTCAAGCTTCTACAGGGTAAAAAGGTATTAGCTAGGCAGAAAAAGGGGGAAAAATATAGTGAAAGGTTATACAGTAGTAGGGGAAAAAGGCTAATCTACCTTCCTGAAAATTAATCCATATTTTATTTTAGGTGTGATGGTGAGAAGGACTGTGCCGATGGAACTGATGAGCCTCCAGGTGATATTTGTCCAGAACGGAAGTGTCGGCCAGGACATTTTCAATGTGAGAATGGCAATGGTTGTGCTGCAGCAACGCAACTTTGTGATGGACAAAATGATTGTACTGATGGGTATGTATTAATTTTGTAAATCTTTTTTTTATATAGCTATTTTAAAATCTAGAATCTTTGAAAACTTCTTCCCTCTGCAATTTTTCTTTCATAGAGAGGTGGATGCTTATAGAATCTTTCCCATATATTTTAGCTATCTTTAATTGGTAGACTTTTTTGAGAACTTAAAATATTTACTTAAGAATATTTCCTGACTGTCAGTAAAATATAACTGAAGAGGAGTTGCTATTAGTTTCTGCTGAAGAATTAGAATATGTTGCAAGATTGGAAATTGCATTTAGTGCATTAATTATAGTGATTGATGGTAATTGAACCACTGTTTGCATTGCAACTGCTTTGTAAAACAATGTAACATTACACATTTTAGCAAAGTAATTTTTAGATAGTGCTTACATAATGTTCAACACTGGATATTACAGGTTAATAGAAGCATTTCTGCTTATATGCAGAGTGACAGAGTTCTCTCTTATTTTAGGACACATATTATACACTTTCATTATATTATTTTTCCTCTTTCTACTAGATGCAAAATGTCGCTACAGTGCTAAAATTTCAGGTATTATATCATTAATAATAAAGTGATGCGCAATTTCATTCAGCATAAGTTCCTGTCTTTACAGCTCAATTTCCACAAAGTCTAAAATATAATGCTCACTTGTATGACTGTCCACACACTACATTTGTGTGTCTGTACTACAGAATGTGCAAGATCTTGCTTTTACGTATGGTTTTCTTTTATATTGCTCATTATACTTTGACCTAACATTGTGTTAGGTATTCCCTTCTGTAGGGATGGTATCTTTTGTGAAACACTTTGTATTCCTTTGAGTGGTTGGGTGCTGTCATTTGTGTTCTACAGGTCCCATTCCATTCCCATACTGTGTGCCCATGTTGCCCAAGAGTGTTGCGAGGGCTTGGTTGGTCCCCTCGTATTTTATTCAGTTGAATGCCCTTGTTCTTGCATCACTGGTCTGGAGCCAAGTTCATTACTCAGGCTTGGTCTGTTGGGGAATGGGAGGGGGAGGGGGAAGTTGCTCTCCATGGCCATCTTCTGGACTTTTTTCTAGTTTGCTCACCTGTGTGTGGTTAAAATAAAGTATCTAATTTTGTGAATTTTAGCAGATGTAACTTATAACTGATGTATGTGATCAAAAGAGTCCTGAAGCAAACAGGAAGGTCTAGGACCACAGCTGTAAACTTGCAGAATTTATCTAAAGAAGGGAATTTCACAAAGGCTTGTTAATGGCAGCTGTTTGTGTACTGTGCTTGTAAATGACTTACTTTGGATTTGAGGTGTTCCAAGATTTTTTAGACCTTGTGTTTAGAGAACCACATGTTGTTTTTGAATGCTGATTGACTAAAACCACTTCATTACAAGACTGTTTGGCTCAGAATTCTCAAACATTGTCAATTTTTCAGATCTGATGAAAACAACTGTCAGCTGGAATGTACAGCACTAGAGTTTAAATGCAAGACCACAGGCAAATGTATCAACATAGCCTGGAAGTGCGATGGGGACAAGGACTGCCGTGATGGCTCAGATGAAGATGATTGCGGTATGTTTGTATTTTCTGTTATTTTACAAGGCGTATTATTTTGTGGCATTGTCCATCATGAATATTCAACTCACATTCAATAGATTTACATTTGTTAGGTAGTCCAAGCAACAACATTCTGCCACCTTGAAGATTGCTTCAAGTGTAAAACAAGCAAGATGGCCACCACTTGTCTCCATATAGATCTCAGGAGACGTCTCCCGTCATGCAGGGTGCAGTCGCACCTCCACAGATCTCCAGTATCACCTCTTGATACTGGTAATGGCTCAAAAGGGCCACCACTTATGGGCTATTCATGCCCGTGCCACCTTTTGGGTGGCTTAATCTTCATCAATCAATCAGTCAATCCATATAGATAGTGTACAATGCACCTAGAAATTCCAAAAGTGTACATCGGGACACCTGATATGAGAAAAGCATTGATATCCAGATCCTGTTGCAATTTCTAGAACCTCTGCCATATATGACATGCCCCCTCTTACTTGCAACACGAGGAAATTGGCAAAAACTCAAGCAAAAACACTACCTGAACCCCAAAGTGGTAGCATTAGAGAAAGGCTTAAAACTCCACACACAAAGGTCGGTGAAGTGCAAGGAAAGGTAAGGATACATCCACAGGCTGGGCATGTGTGTGAGGGGGACAGACTGAATGGACTGTAAACATCACCGGGTGTAGCAGGAGCCACTATTCAGTCCTGGTACACAAAAGAAAACACATGCCACTGTGTATTTTCCTGTGTGTGTTTTCACTGTGTGTACTGCCCAGGTATACTGTTGTATACCTGGGCAGTACCATAGAACTGTGCACAAGATTTCATCCTCATTGTTTTCTACCTAGTGCTTTACACTTGCACTGTATTGTGTGCTACCCCAAAATGTGCCTAAGCCATTTAATTTCACTGTTGTAATCACTGCCATCATCTTATATCATGGTTATGTTGAACACAAATTTTACTACAATGTATCTAGAAATAATCCTCAAATTATGCTACAATGTACCTAGAAATAATCCTCAAATTTTACTGAAATGTACCTATTAATTTTCTTCAAAATTTTCCTACAATGTACCTGCTAACGTTTTTTTAAATTTTGCTACAAATTACCTACTTAAAATTATCTGTTAGATTAAGGACCTACCCAAAATGCTATGCGTGCTAGTGGCTTTACAAGAATGTAAAAACTTCAATGCTATGTACTCTCATAAACCCATTGTAGCTTCTTTTATACATATATATAAATAAATAATAAATAAGAGGCAGTGCTACCAGAGACTATTTGAAAAATTCCCTGTGGTGCAATTGCTGAGAATTTCATCTGAGAGACTCTAATGATCCTTGCCCATATGACCTATCGGATCTTATCTAGGGGTAACTGAAGTGTAAAGTAGCTTAGAAATACTTGTACATTCCCATGATGAGAAAACATTTCTGTTTGGAGAAGTCAATTAACATTTTTACAGATATTCTCTTTGTATTGTTTCACAGTGATGCCTTTAATTTTTCTTTTTGTATTATTTGTTATTAATTTAAAAATAAACACCCCCTTACAGTATCTGTACCAATGTTAGTATCAGCCTCATTCTCATAACATATTAATCATTTTGAAATGTGAACTTTTCCACAGATAATCGTCCGTGTGACAAAGAAACCGAGTTCCAGTGTATGAATGGGAAGTGTATATCAAAACAATGGTACTGTGATTTAGACAATGATTGTGGGGACCATTCTGATGAACCTGCATTCCTCTGTCGACAAAAGAACTGCACTGATGGATGGAGAAGGTAAGAAATTACTAAGAGTTTCTATTAACAGCAGGCAACAAAAATCATTCCAGAGCTAAGGCAACTCTCGTACCAAGAGTGGTTGAGGGCCACAGGACTAACAACACTGTAGACCAGGCACGACAGGGCAGATCTCATCTATACTTAAAATACTGAACCATTTGTATTGTCTGGATGTTGATCCGGACAATACAAATGCAATGTACATGTACAGCCTCATTTATAGCAATGTGTCAATGGTAAATCTGGTTCAGAGTCAAGAATGCCTTTTTGGAACATAGTCTGTTAGTTGGGGTATGTATGATGTATATTTTAGATATTCTAAGATATTTCAATCCATCATCCAAAAATGATAGGTACCTATGATTTAGGTATAACCTAAATCTAGGTGTAATTTAGGTATACTGTAACCTAAAGGTTATTTATCTAAAGGTCTGATTTAGGTATAACCTTTATGTATAACCTATAGGTACTATGAATAGAATGTACAAAATATATACTGTACTGTTGCATACCTATAAATTTCACATTATATTATTCCAATATTGTAGTACATAAAGAAGAGTCCAAAAATTGGAACAGTAACAATGAACCTAACCTAGACCTAATATACACCATCTTTGCCCTAATTTAGTACATATATATATGTACCTTACAACACCTAGGAATGTTTAGGTTTGGTTGTTGCCTTCTTTCTCAGGCCTCTACAAAATTAACAGATTACAAAATGTGGACTGTGTGCGCAATAGTCCACACCTTGTACTTGCATCCATAGTAATAATAATAGGTACTGTAGCAATATGTTTGGATGACAAGTTCACATGTAATTAATTAATTATATATCGACTTGTCCAAAAATATTGCTACTCATTATTACTATGTGTACTCATTATTACTATGAGTACTCATTATTACTGTGTGTACTCATTATTATGTATACTCATTATTACTGTGTACTCATTATTACTATGTGTACTCATTATTACTATGAGTATTCATTATTACTGTGTACTCATTATTCTGTGTACTCATTATTACTGTCTACTCATTATTACTCTGTGTACTCATCCCTAATGAAAAACTCAACAAAGGGTTGAGCTATTGATATTTAATAAATTTGAGATACTACCTCAAATATACTACAGTATTTCTGTACGATATACAAATGTACTCATACTGTCTATGAAAATTAGTTCAAGGTTTCAGTTTAAAACAATGCTTGGAATATTGAAACATGCACATGAACTAAGGGCACATATACAGTATTTCCTTTTTTTGTGAGGTACTTGTAAAATTTTCCCCCAAAAAACATAACGTAATATTTTTTTTTAAAGTTTGTAAACATAAATGTTGGCCCAAGTAATTATGTTTGCTTAATGTAAAATAAAATTTTAATATGATATCCATGCAATTCTGCAGATGTCCAGGTCGCACAAATTACCGATGCATACCAGAGTGGCTGTTTTGTGATGGCAAAGATGATTGCCGGGACAATACTGATGAGCAAATTGAAAACTGCCCTAAATGTCACGAGAGTGGAGACTTCCAGTGTAAGAACAGACGCTGCATTCCCAAGTAAGTGTTTTTAGAAGTGACATTGTGACACACTAAGCAATTGTATATACTGTATGATATTTCCTATCGAAATATATATTACTCTTATATTTTCAGACATTTACAGGTACAAATTAAATTACTGATTGACTTTATACTGTATATTGCCCCGGTAGTACAGTGTGGTTTTTCTTGACTCACAATCAGGAATTTAGAGTTCAAATTTCAGGCAAGTGCATTTCCTATCACTTAATGCTTCCATTCACCTAGCACTAAATAGATACCTGGAGGTAGTCTGCTTGTTGTGGGATTGTATCCTGGTGAGGGTCAGTAGTTTGACCTTGGGGAGGGACCTTGATATAAGCCTAACTGTATAAAACTGTATACAGTATATACAGTACAGTGGTTGCCTGTCCCCCAAAACAATGAATTATAATTATTATATTTTTTATTTTTCCCAATTTTTTCAGGCGTTGGCTATGTGACTTTGAAAATGATTGCGGTGACAACTCTGATGAAGATGAAGAGATGTGTCGTAGCCAATATCGTGAATGTTCAGAGAGTGAATTCCGCTGCAGCAATAATAAATGTATTCCTAACCGCTGGCGTTGTGACCATGACAATGACTGTGGAGACAAGTCAGATGAGGAGAATTGTGGGGAACACACATGCAAGGTAAGATTATTTACCATACTCGTTTGGTGAGCCATTTACTCTTTACGCACAGTACTATACAAGTTTAATAATAAATTATTGAAAGTTGAACAGTACGGTATGCAATTATAATATTTGACTGTAAGCATCATTTTCATGGCATAAAAAATATATTAAGCATAATACAATTTTTGTTTTTAACTAGTGTACCAGACTTCCAGGGTCCCTTTAAATATTATACAGTTTCTCTAAAAAAAAAAAATTGAATATAAAACTGTTCCATCAGGTTCATAATGTAATTTGTTTTTGTTTCAAACATTTTGTCATTGTGTTTTGAACTGCTGCAAAATATTGCCTTCACAGCCTACATATAAACATGAGAATTATTCACAGGATTATCTATTTATTTTCAGCATAGCCAGTATCAGTGTTCATCTGGCCACTGCATCCAGAAACACTTCCGTTGTGATGGTGAACGCAACTGTCATGACTTGAGCGATGAGTTAGATTGTCCTCCACGTTACCCTGGTGAACGTTATTGTCCAGATGAAAAGTTCCAGTGTGATAACCATCTTTGTGTAGAGATGCGAGACCTTTGTGACGGAAGCAACGATTGTTACGATAATTCAGATGAACGTGAAAGCCTTTGCAGTAAGTATTGTAGAGAAAATTTATTTGACATGTGCTTCAGGTGCCAAAACATTTGAACTTGTAAAGAATCTTGTAAGCTACATCAGTTTCATATAATTATCTATATCTATAAAGAGCGTGTGTTTGTCCCAGGTTGAAGACTAGATGCTCAGGGCTAGCTTTACCCAACTTCCCAACATTAAAACTGGAGGTCTGTCAGAGAAGAGAGAGGGAGAGAGACGGGTGGGAGAGAGTGGATGGGGAAGGAGAGAGGAGGAAGGGGGAGGAGAAGAGTGGGGGGAGAGGGAGAGAGGAGGAGGAGGAGGGAGGCAGGAAGGAGAGGGGAGAGGGGAGAGGGGGGGGAAATTGGTGGAGAATGGAGAGAGGGAGATGGGGGGGGGGGAAAGGTGGAGAGGGTGGGAGTGGCAGGAGGTGAGGAAGAGGGAGGGAGGAGATATGGGAAGAGATGGGGGGGGGGGGGGAAAGCGAGAGAGGGGAGAGAGGAGAAAAGAGGGGTGAGGGGGAGAGGGGAAGGAAGACCTCATCTAGTATATTATGTATTACTCTAAATTTATTATAATTAGAAATTGTGCTAATTCTCATATGTCATCATGATCTTACCTTTCCACATGAAATTAAATAATTGGTTCCTGATCCACTCAAATTATAAGTAAAAGTGGGGAAAAATAGGATTAGTTAAAAAACTCTTAGACATTTAAAAAAAAAAATCATATGATGATATATTCTAGTCATATATTGGGACAAAATAAAGAAATGAATTAGATCTTTAAGAAATTTTTTATTTGATCTTTATTTGCCAACAATATTCATGATATATTTGTTACAGCTTTGGTGTGCACTGTAAATACAACATCATATCAATATAGTAGTTGCTTATAAATTAACTTACATGGATAAAGTCTCGGTTGACTACATTTATGCAGTCACTAGTATGCACAGCGTGTATGGCAAGTTGCTAGTACTGTATGCACAACATTTTGGGCAGATTACTAGTATGCTCAGCATGCTTGGCACATTACTAATACAGGTACATGCAGCATGCTAGACAAGTTGCTAGTATGCAAAGCATGTTGGAAAAGTCACTAATGCACACTTCATATTGGCCAAGTCATTAGAGTGCACAGCATGTGGACAGTTTGAATAAATTTCTGTTGCAATAGGAATAATGAAGTATGCACTAACCCCTGGCTGGAGTCTGCTGAGTCTTGATGGACTGGGATCTTGACTAATGAATGAACAGAATGGGTTGTTCAGAAAATAGGTTTTCATCTACACTTATATTCACTTAAGTGTTTTTTCTTATTACAGGCAACTACACGTGCAACACATTACGCCGTTTCCAGTGCAACAACCATAAATGCATCCCCTTGTATCAGAAATGTGACGGAATAGATAATTGTGGTGATGGATCTGATGAGAACAACATGACTATCTGTTCCCATCGACCCCGACCTTGTATATTCAATGAGTACCGCTGTGCCAACCACAAATGCATTCCTCCCAACAAAGCCTGTGATCATGCTGATGATTGTGGTGATTCATCTGATGAGCTTGGCTGCCGTAAGTTCATTTCAATTGTTTACATCATTATTTTTGTTTGTTTGTAAAGCTTATTAGATGCTGCTTTCAATTAAATATTCAAATTTAAATCACAAATTAAGTGTAGACAAAATTCTAAATAATTTTTGAATTTTTCAGATACTGCATCAAACTGCACAGTTGGTGGATGTGAACAGTCATGCTTCAATCTTAAAGACGGTGGCTATGTATGTCACTGCCTGCGTGGATTCAGAATTTCCCCCAACAATCCAAAAGTATGTGAAGATATTGACGAATGTGCAGAGTTTATACATAATTGCTCACAGTTATGTACTAATTTGAATGGAACTCATGCTTGTTCGTGCCGAGAAGGTTTTGAGCCCGAGATAAATGGTGTTTGCCGCCTAAAAGAGGGAGCAATCACTCTTGTATATTCAGATAGCCCTGAAATTCGAGCGTTTAACTTAACTTCCAATAGGGCTATGAATGTTATTAAAGGGGATAGTATAGAGTCTCTAGATTATGAACCCAGATCCGGTATCGTATATTGGACGGACTCATATGGAAAAACTATCAAACGATCATATCTACCAGGGACTCCTGAAAGAGCAAATATTACAATGGGTTACGCTCAGAATCTGGATATCAAAAGTCGAGCCAAACCTACTGGCCTAGCAATTGATTGGGCAGCCATGAATTTATACTGGAGTGAAACAGATCGCACAGGAAACAAACCTCGTGGTGCAATATTGGTGTCTACATTGGATGGACGGTATCGCCACTTGGTCATTGCCACTGGCCTGGAAGACCCTACCTCTGTAGTTGTTGACCCAGATCATGGTTATATGTTTTGGACAGACATTGGCTCAATACCAAAAATTGAAACTTCTTGGATGGATGGCAGCAAAAGGAGAATTCTTGTCTCAGATGCTATTAGTCAGCCTACAGGACTGACAATTGATTTTGCCATGGAGCACACACTGTATTGGGTGGATGCCAAACTTAATAAGATTGAAATGATGCGTGAAGATGGGTCCAAGAGAACTCTTGTTGCTACAGGAAGCCACCTGAAGCATCCTTTGTCCTTGGATGTGTTTGAATCCAGTATATACTGGGTTACACGTGATTCAGGAGAAATATATAGCATGGATAAGTTTGGACGAGGAGTTCCAGTAAAGCTTCCAGGAGAATATGCCAACCCATCTAGCATAAAAGGTGAGATGTTAAAAGTTCTCTAATAGCAATATCGGTAAATCTTAAATGACGCGCGTCTCATGGGAGAATTAGTTTTACTAGAGTATTATTTGATTGCCACAATTTGATTCGTGTATTTGATTAACAACGGATAACATCTGCATTAGAAAAACCCACCTTGCCTCTCAGGATTGAATTTGTCAAAAGTTTTAAACAAAGGTTCAATGCTTAGAGTAAAAAACATTTAAAAAAACAAAAAAAAAACAAAAAAGAATAGCTCAAATATTTTCATAGCTGTAGTACACTACTAAAATTTTGGTTTGGAATTTACAGTTGTCAACTCACTTCACAAGATAATTCTTTGAAAGGCTCAAAAATATTGATAAATTTATAAAAATCTGTATTCTTTTTTATTTCTTATTAAATCATTATTTTGTGTGAGACTGGAAAATTAAATAAAATGAGTATATTTGATAAAGAGTACAGTTTGGTAAGTTGTTACAGATAAACATGGGAAGGGCTACTTTGATGCTACTGTTGAATTCAAGATCAAACTGTTATAGGTAACCAAGTGCAGCTATTGTGTTAAAGACAAGACCTTAAACTGGGCAGTGGATAAAGTCCTGTAAAGAAAGTAGCACTGGGGAGGTACTGATAACATCACAGCATGGATAAGAAAGGTAGATAATTTTTTAGGGGGTACTCAATACAAGCAGGATTGAATTGAGCAGGGCAAAACAGGGGTATGACTTTGAGGGGGTGATACAGTAGTGAATTTTTAGTTTTGACAAGGAGAACTTGTGGAGCCAAGAGTAACTCGAGAAACTCCCAGGCAGGGTTTAGGAAAACCTAGGTTGCATGGAGTGTGTTAGGACTGTAAGTACAGGTCCTAGCAGCACACACACTCATTGGGGTGTGCACATAGTTATTGGCCAGTTGCATCATGGGCAAGAGGATAGAGTACTTAACAGGTGAGTTGCTTCTCTGGAACTCTTCATGATTTGATCTGACATGATGCCTGACTCAGGTGTGGCAATGAGATTACCTGGGGTAAAAGATACCACTCTCTGACTGCAGTTTGCTACTGTTGTACATTATGAGTCTTGTAAAGTGTGTGAGGGGGACGGTTTATATAATATACTCATGTACAGTATATTTTTTTTCAGTTTTTGCAAGCAAGAGGTACAACACAAGTATGATGAGTATATGCCAAAGAGACACCCCATGCAGTCATCTGTGTCTCATCATCCCTGGAGGCCACAAATGTGCTTGTCCTGACAATAGAGGTGTAAAGAACACGTATCCTAACTGTGATGCTCGTAAGTAATTTATTCTTAATTACAGTACCCAAAGAGTTTATAAAACATTTCTTAAAAAAATTTTTTATCCAAATTCCTATATAAAAGGAAGAGTTAAGGTTTTTTCATTGCTAGTATTTTAAAAAAGATGATTACAAATACTGTATGTGGTACAGTACTTATATGCATCTAAAACTTCCAGAGCAAAAATATTTAAATTATTTAAACTATTTGAATTACATCACATATTAAGAATTTTTTAATTGTCAAAAAGTGTATTGAAGAAATAAGTGCAAATGTGAGCATGATTGTTTTGTGGGTGTGAGGAGTTCATTGTTCATCATAACACCAGAAAATAAAGCCATTGAAGAAATTAGTGCATCAGTGCAGAAGGTAAAATGTGGGAAAGATATTTAATACTAGAATTTATGAATTAACATGTGTCATGCTAATACATAACAGTAACAGTGTTTAAATGTATAAGATATTAAGATAAGTAAAATTTGTTTATATTTTTGGTGGTAAACATGGTATGATAAGAGTATAAAGAATTATTATGAGTGATAGTAGTAGTAGTATTACACATAGTATTTAAGAAATAAAGAAGTACTGTATTTTAAGAAAAATTAGACAAATTTTTAAATTATTTAGGATGGAATCTATGGGAAGATATGCTATGTAGTGCAGTAGACATAACTCAGGTTAACTACAACATGTAATAGGTATGTTTGTTTCAATTTTATATAGATTAAAGGTAGTACAACATTTATTGTATTTGGACGGCTGTTTCAAAATTTATAATACCTGTACTTTTATTTGTATTGTGATTCAGTTTGTCAGATCAGACTCTGGGAATATTAGAAGGCATACATGTTTCTTGTGCAGTGTCAAAGTTGTATCGCAGTTTTCTAAAAAGCATAATGGTTAGAATTGGTGCTACAGTATAGGGTTTTAGAAGATTTCTAAAGGTTAAAATATTTTACCAACATGTTTATGAAGGTTTCTCCATGATTATCTCAATATTTTAATCAATTTCAGCACATGAGCCTATGAAAGCAAAACCTCTTGGCTGTGGGTGTTTAAATGGTGGCGTGTGTGTCTTGAACGTTTCCAATGTTCTTCGTTGTGAGTGCCTTGAGGGCTACTCTGGAGAGCTGTGCGAGACCTATGTGGCTCGCAGTTTTATCCCACGACAACCTTGGTCAGCAGCAACTGTGATTGTGCCCATCGTCCTCATTATCCTAGTGTTAGGAGTTCTTGCGGCTCTTTACGTCTTCTTTAATCACCGTCACATGTAAGTCAACATTTAGTTAATTTTTAAGTGTTCTATTTTGTATGGTGAATATTACTTACCTTTTTTTATCTTGGGCTTAGATATTATACATGAAACAGGTTGACCATTGCACTCATTTGTCACTGTCTAAAGTACAGTACAGTATTGTATTCCATATTTCTCATTTTAATCATTTTGTTCAAGCTGTTACTGTGTTAACCTACTAGGATATTGGACTGTAACTCAAGAGAAAGTAATGTATAAACACAATTGACTTGATTATAAAAAAAAGTCTTGATTAATGATATTTAATGATGTCCTCCTTAAATAAAAAAATTAACTGCCCTCCAGTGCCTCATGCATTAACTGGGGGAATATATGAGAATTGTTTTAATAAAAAAAAAAATATATATATATATATATATATATATACATTCATTAATAAAAAATGTACTTTTTATGCAAGTTAATTTTTTTTTAATAATTTTAACTTAATAAATCACACATTAAATTAATTTCCTTATAATTTTCAGAACACTGAAGGGTCGGGGTCTTCCTGGCTCGAGTGTCGTGTTTAGACAAGGCACAAATGTCGAGATAGGACCTCCTTCATTTATGGCACCTCCAGAAGGAGCAAACGGGGCAAGTTAATTAAAGCATTGGATTTTATAGCTTACACAGTCTTAAGCATTTGTCATTTTACAAATAAGCAAACATTCTGGAACTTAATGCCAGGTTATTACAAGTAATAACCACTGCACATTACAAGTAATGTGCAGTGACTGCACATTACTTGTAATGTGCAGTGATTGTGATGTATGAGGTCTGTACAACCCATCCTTCTAAACTGATAGAACTTATAGCAAGTATTGGGTCCAAAGTACTGTATCAATATGTATTATGATTATTATGTATTATGAGTATCAATATGTATCAATAAGCCCACCAAGAATTTCAGGTTTTGTATCATTGAATTAGTCCAAATGGCAGTCTTATCAATTCAAAATAAAACTAAAGAACCTAACCTAAATCCTAGACCTAATATAGAACATATATGTGCTATACTAGGTATAGTCCAAGAAAAAAAAGGCCTATGTGAAATTAAAAGTACAAAATGTGAACTGTTTGGTGGTCCAACACTACATATTTGTACCTTGTATGAAATAGTTACTAAAAGTACTAGCATTCTAGGAGGACGAGTTGGCTTTGTCTTACCATGAGTAGTACTTTAATTATATTGGGTAGGGAAACCATATGGTTTTCACAGGATTTTAACTAGTTTTGTTCTTTCAAAATTTGATTTTCCCAAGGGGTATCAAGAGAATGTCTTGTGTGTTCGCTAAAATTGATGAATAGTGGGTTACAAATAATCAGGTGTTGAATGTAATGTGCCACCACTTTATGGTGGGACCCCAGTAGCTTCTCTAGCTTATATACTGGTAACTAAGCCTTAGAGCCCCCTTTTCCCACAGAAGGCCTCTTGAGACCCATCTGTGTGTTGCCTATTAGAAACCAGGATCAAAATCTGATTCATTCTACATGATGTAGTAGTTTGAGGATCAGAGATGAACTCAAAACCAAGGTAAAACTCACCAGAAAGCATTGGTGAAACAAAATAAGTAACTGCTTGAATGAAAGAGTGAGTCTCCTGTAAACAAGGCAAATGATAATAGAAACCACATAGAAACTATCCTAACTCCAGTGAACCTATTCATCAACTAGGTGGCAGCCCATGTCACACAATCTCTCAGCTGGGCTGCCCTATCACTCTTAAGAGCCACTCGTGACAAAAAAACAGCTTTATTTTTTTAGCACCTTTGTTTCCTAGCTTGAATCTATACTTCTTGTTCTTGACATTGCAGGTTTCAACAATTCCTCTGCCAATTTTGTTGATTCTGCTTACCATTTTGTACTTGATCATATCGCTTGTATTTCTTCTATCTTCTAGTATTGGCATTTTTAACACTTCTAGCCTTTCCTCGTAGCTCTTGTTTTTCAGTCCCAGATGTGGTTTAATAACATGCCTTTGCATGTTTTCCTGTTTATTGATGTGCTTTTTCAGATATGGGCACCATACATTAGTATATTCCAATTTTTGTTTCACAAAGGTCATGAATAATTTTTAATATTTCACCATCCATGTATTTAAGTGATTTTGAAGTTAAAAAGTGTATCTTAAGCTCCTCACACAATGTCCTTTATGTGGTCCACTGGTGGCAATCTAGTATCCAGAACCACCCCTAGATCTCTTTCTTTGTCAGAGTTCTTTAGTGCCTTTTCACATAATTTGTAGGTTGTGGGGGCTATTTTCTACCATTCTTCATTCCATTATGTGGCATTTATTCACAGTGAATTCCATCTGCCAAGTGTTGCTCCATACACTAATTTTTCCAGGTCATCTTGATGGGGATGACAATGATGAAAGTCTTTTTATTTTCGCCTAGTAGCTTAGCATCATCAGCAAATATGTTCATATAGTTCTGTATTACCTTTGGTAGATAGTTTAAAAAACAATGAATATTACTGGTGCTAGAACTGAACCCTGTGATACTACAATAGTAACATTTCTCCAATCAGATACATTGCCTCTAATTACTGCCCTCATTTTTTTTTTTATTTCATCTGTGTCTTCCTGTGACCCATCTGGCATGTTACGGCTTCCATAACAACCTCCTGTGTGGGACTGTCAAAAGCCTTTTTTAAAGTCCAGATAAATGCAATCTGCCTATCCATATCTTTCCTGTCATGAATACTAAATGGATTTATTACACAGTATTGTCCTTTTTTGAAAGGCATACTTTTATTACGTCATTACTTTCTAGGTATTCTATTTGGTTTTAATAATTTTTTCTAGTGCTTCGACTACCATGCTTGTCAACAATATAGGTCTATAATTTAAATGTTCTCTGCTACCATTTTTGTAGATGGAACCATGTTTGTGTTTTTCCATATATCTGCTACAATTCCTATAAATAAAGATGTCAGAAAAATTAATGGAATTGGAATGGTCAACTCGGGTGCACATTCAACAGGCCATCTTCATGAGCATTCCCAATATCACTAAAATCATGTACAGTACATGCTAAATTGGCCAAACCTAACCTGAGGACCCACAAATAGAAAACAGGACATCACGTCAGTTTTGCGTGCTGCTATGATATTTAGTACATCAGTTTTTGACCGCTGGGGATACATATATACATCAAAATGCAATGTACTATTCAAGGTACTAATTAATTTTTCTACCTCTTGAATAGTACGTTCCCTAGTAATAGATATACAAATAATATATATGTATAAATTCTTTGTTGTATTAAGTCTTATTGTCTCTTAATGGTGATATATGATGGTTGTCATCCAGACATACATTCTATATGCATATATCTATCAGTAACTTATGTCAGGAAATTTTGTCTTTTTTAGCTAGCACAATGGAAGCAGGTCCCTACTGCATACACTGTAAGACTTTTATATTTTAACAAGTGAAGAGAATGAGAGGGCTCAGAGTAAGGTAACCTTACTCTGAGATTAATAGATGTAGGCAAGTGTGCATAATGATTATGAAACTAAGTATATTAACATAAGTCACAAGTCAAATTTGTATAAGAAAATTATAAAGACAAATTGTAGCTTTATAGCTTTGCTTTCTGTTATGGGTCCATGTAGAGCATTCATTGGTTTTTCTCTAGCAGTGTCCAACACATTTTCATATTTGATACTGGCATAAAACATGTTCCTTTCATGCTGTTTGATAATGTATTCATGGCACCTCACTTGCAGATGCATAGCTCATTCTTTTTTCAAGTACAGCATAGCTACATGTACTTGCTTATTCATAGTAAAAGTTTTTGGCAACTACTTCACTTGTACACTGGTTAACATGGGGGTATTATTACTTTACAAATTGTTAAGGCATTTGTTTAGGTATTCATCTCTTGACAATGAGCTAGTTAGCATCCAAAGTGGTTAAGATTAATTTGGCATTACACATTTTAGTGAAGGAGGATAACATTTATAGGTGTTGAATATATATAAGCATGAATTATTTAGCACTGCCTTGTACAATGCTGATTCCTTATAACACTTTAGTGGAAAATTAAAAAAAAAATCCACTTCCGAGTGGTTCCTCAGTAGTTTCCCCAAGTCTCGGTAATGTAACTTCCAAAGTCACTGTTTGTTTGCCACGCCCTGTGACTTTGAAACATGCAGAAGAATCCTCACCTCAGCCCTTATGGATTTGTTCATGCAGAAGAGATGTGCTGAAGTGGCACCTTCTGTACAGTAATGTGAGTGCCTCAACATTAGAGACCATCTTTGTTATCTGGCATGGCAAAACAAAGTGGAAACCTCAAACCAAGTTTGATGCATCCATAAACAGCTCAAGTGATGGAGCTGGAGATTGTGTGAAACTATACCCCAAAAGCCCAAGGAGGAAAGTACTGCAACAGCAAAGCCTTCATGCTAAATGAGGCACACACCATGCAGGCCCTGAACTGGCAAATTGCTGATCATTGGAGAGTGGTGGTTACTGTTATTGAATACCTAATCCTACAACACTTCTTGGTGATGGATTGAGGTATGTTTTTCCACTGAACTCCCCAACCAGTATTTAGCAGAAAAGACAATTTGAAAGGGTACTTTTCCTCAAGAGATTCCAACTTGCTCGGGGCCTGGCATTACAACAGTGACCTGGGTGCAACAGTTTGCAAGATTATGCAGAACAGTTTCAGCATTACAACAGTCAAGCCTGGCCTGAGGCTAGGCTCTGGGAGCAGAACAACTCTTGAAACCCTCTCCAGGTATGCTCCAGGTATGAATCCAATGCCAAGAATGAGGGAAGCTACTGAAGGAAACTTGATCAGAAATTATATTAGAAAGAAAACTCCACAATGTAACTAGTTACAGTAACACTTCTGATTAAAACTTTTTGTTTACACATTGGAACTTTTCTTATTTATGTTATGATACTAAATTCCTTAATTTATTACAAATCTTTATAATCCTGCAAGCTGTCATAACATTGTTTAATGAAGTAATGCTAGGAGTCCTAAAATTATTCAAATTTGATTACAGTTGAAATGTTAAGTTTTATTGAATTTCTCTAGATGATGCTAATTAACCCTTTTCTTTATCCAGGTGCCAATAGAAGGAGATGTTAATCTTAGTGAGATTGCAGCAAAGAATCATAACTTCAGCAACCCCATGTATGATGCCATGGGATCGATGGAGGGAGCTGCAACAGAACAGACAAACACAAAAGGGCTGTACGAAGTGCCCTTAGACACCAGTAAGACTAAGGGGTACAGCATGGAAAACCAAGAGACTAGTAATGGTTCAATGCAACCTCCACCTCTAGCAGTTCTTTCTCCATCAGCCATGATGCAAAAAGCTTCGCCTAATATACAGCTTCGTAAAAAAGAGCTTAGTCCTTCTAGTAATGACTCCGGCAAGGATACACAAAAGCTGGTGGTGGAGGATGATAACTCGGAATGTTAAAAGTGTGTTAAGACTTGCATTATACGCATTAACTATTATGGGCCAATTGATTCAGCGCTGCCACTACCTGTGCTAAGGGATGCCGTCCCAAATGCAAACCAGATCATGATAGTTTTATTTTAACAGAAAATCAGATGTGAGGCTGTTGTGCACTGTTATGTAAGTTTGAGATTATTCAGTGTACTGCCACGCTTGTAAAATGTTATGTACATTTTTTATTAAACAATTTTTAAACTTAACTAAAATGTTTTTGGTGCTCAGTGTGTGAAATGACTAGTAAAAGTGGAAGTAATTTCATCATTAGAAAATTATACGATATTTAAACAACAGTAGGTATAGCACTCGTGGAAATTATAGAAATAATTTTTGTAAATGTACAATGTAGTAATTGTATTGGCTGGATATAGTAATATGTAAATTGCTCTATTTTTACACAAACAAATAGTCTGTTTGTATATTTTCATCTTTGTAGAATCAAGAGGTTTTTTATTATAGTTTATTTTAGGGCCAAGGGTCTTAAACTTACAAATGGTCCTCATCTTACCATAGTTATATATACATTTCCTCCTATTTATCTTACTGCTAACATTTCCTTGTTTTAGAGGCATTGAATGAATTTAGATTTCATACATGAAGCGACATGTCTTATATTGAAGCCAAGCCGTCCACATTAAATATTATATGACACATTCCATGTGGTAAGGGAGTATCAATGATGTACTTATTTGAAGCGACTTTATGTACAATATTTTGTTAAGTATGAGTTAGTGAATCATACCCTATGAACTGACCTTTGGTAAGAGTCCTGTAGGTGACTGTTCTGTTCGGTTGATTCTCTTGAAGAATGTTACGTGAAGAAATAGCGATATATATATTTTAAAATTGTAGGTTCCCACCTATAGTCCTTTGGGACATCTTGAGGGCTTATACAGTATGTATAAACTGCAGAGGCACCACTGCTTTTACCAATGGAATTCTTCCTATGGACATTTTATTGTAAATAATGGTGTGTAAATATTGAAGACTTATTTGATTTATTTCATTTTGCTGTGAGAGTGAAGAGTCTATTGTAGATCATTTACTCAATTCATCAACATTAGACATTAATTGTCACAAATGTGTTTCACATGACCCGTCTTAAGGAGTACTATCCTAACTCTATATTTCCGATGTGGTTGTATTATGTTGATTTGTTTCCATTGTTATAGGCAGTGCAATAATTAATAATGTTAAAAATAATTTTGTTGTTGTTTTCCTTCATGGGATGGGTGGGGGGAAGAGGGCTAGAAATTTTATATGTACTGAAGAGATATATATATATATAATATATATATATATATATATATAGCTAAATAAAGAAATATAACTACTAAAACATTTTAACATTATTATGGGTATACCCTATCGATGACAGTACAGTATGTACAAGGCTTGTGAAGGACAAAGACATTCATACATACAAAATATTTTAATACTTATAGATCACCTAAAAATATTGTCAAATGAAATGAATTGTCCCTTTCCGAGTGGCAGCACCCAGGTTTCTTCCTTAGTTTAAAGCACTGGCACCTTAATACCATAGTAGATATGCTCAACCCGTTCTCGCACTTTCTTACAGTCAATATTGACTTATTAAATACATGCATATGTGACATACTAAACATACTAGTTTATCTTGAAGAGCTTCATAGAAAACACCGACCTTACCTAACCTTCTTAGTATGTTAAGATAAGCATCTTATTGCTTCGTAATTACAATTATTACTTAACCTATACCTATAATAGGTTAAGTAATAATTGTAATTACGAAGCAATAAGATGCTTATCTTAACATACTAAGAAGGTTAGGTAAGGTCGGTGTTTTCTATGAAGCTTTTCAAGGTAAACTAGTATGTTTAGTATGTCACATATGCACGTATTTAATAAGTCAATATTGACTATACGAAAGTGTGAGAACGGGTTGATATGCTAGGCTTCTGAGATAATCTCTGGCAATTGGTGGCAGGTGTCATTTTATAATGACTCTCCCCTACATGGGGTGGAGAGTAAGTGGGAATCAAAGATCATGAGCTGTGGGAACACTAAGCCCCGAAAACACCTCAAGGTAACAAAGGCCAACCATCCTTATAAATGGTATCACTAAACAACTCAAAACCACTAGGAATGGTTTGGTGTCCAAAAACTACCAAAAAAATCTGAAGGCAAGTGGAACACCTATCACAGCAATTCTCTCACGTATTAATGGAATTAGCATCTCCAGCCAGCAAGTAACCTCACTATAGAAATGCAGTACCTGAAAATGAAGGGCCTCACAGGAAATAGTTGGAATAAATGGGACCACATGCCATCCAGAAATGGGCTTTTCATTTCACTTGACAGTATTTTAAGGTAGACCCTTTTAGCTTTGTCTTATGAAAGCTCACTAAGAACATACAGTATAATTGGTAAACACAAAATGGAGCTTATCCAAATTGGCTCATGTCGGGGTCAACCTCTGTAATAAGTAATGAGGCCCAGAGCCACATAATGAAGCTAAGCAACATCCTGGAGATAATGTTCTGCTGGGACAAGATGCATCTCCCTGACTAGTATGGTGACAGCTGAAGTATAAGCCCTGTCCCAAGGCTGATGCCTTCATGAACTCGAGCAAAGAGGCAGAAGAATGCCAAGGAACTGACCCATGAAAATAGCAAAGTAAAAGGTAAAATGGGATTATCACTACTCGGTTCCTTTGCTAACAAAGTCAGATCAGTGTGGGAGGTAATATGACACAAACTACACCCAGCAAAGGCAACAAAACTTTCTGATGAAAAAGGAAACTATATGATCCAGCATCTAAAGCACAAGATCCCTGGCAACACACATCTTGTGACTGAGAGCACAAACTAACACATCTTTGAGGTAAGCCAGAACATAGACTCCAATAGATACAACTTCTGGAGAACTACCAAATTTAACCTGGTAAATATACTGAGTGCCAAATTAAGCCAAAAATTGGTAATTGATGTGCCCCATTCAGAATCCCAGCCAGTCCTATAACTGTGGATGGAAAGGAACATGCTATTAGCTCTCCTGCAGGTTCAGAGAAACTCAAGCATGGCTCGATGCCCACTGGCAAACCTAATACACGATGGTCATTCAAAACCTTTGCTAATTTAAAATTAGCAAAGAAAGACTTTACAGAAAGGAAGGTAAATTGCTGTGGTAAACACAATGGTACCATTTTCAAAACGATTCTATGGCTGGTTTTGTTTTTGAGTTTTGTGAAAAATGACGATTTCGCCAGGGCTGGGATTCTTTGCAGGCGGCGGGCTGTATGTACCCCATCTTTGTCTTCGTCCGCTGGTCAAGTTTTTATTACTTGATTTAATCATTGTCTATCTTCTATATCTATAAAATACGGATGACTCTCTGTGTAAGGTAAAATGTACGTAAGTACCATAGAGGTACGTAAGTGATAAAAGTAATTGCGAAACTCCAGTTATCTAATACTTATCATAAATTGTATAAAACCTTATACAAGCCAAGGGATTTGTAGATCAGTGTTTAAAAGGGAATTCGGAAGTAAAAATAATACAGCAGATGCCATCTGTCGGCAGAATAGAACACTATCCACTTTTTTTTTTCTTTTTTTTTCTTTTTAGCATTGATAATCCTGCGCGGGCCCTAAGCCTCTGGCTGGCCCACAAAGTGATGCTCGTTTCTGTTTTACCTGGGCGGAGGATGAGAATGTATGACCCGTATGGTCGCTTCAGTAAGATTTTGCACTATCAACTGGCTGGTCAACAGTGGCCATAAGATACAGCTTACGCCATCTGTTGACATCAAATTACACTTATAACAAATTACCCCACAAAATACCACTAGCGCCATCTCGTTTTTTTCCAACGCACTATAAATAGCCAAACAGCAACCCATAAGGTGGGTTGTTGTGCTCGGGTAGGAGGTTCCAAGCTCCGCCCACAGATGGTATGGGGTGCATAATAAATGGCATATCATTGGTAGATATTCTTTGTTGACATTCACACAACAGCCAATCACAGGAAGGGATCAGCTAAAGGCTCCATCCACTTAATAAATCATCTTTATTCAGCACACCATCCTTGCTTATGACATTCTGCTTCAACTTTAATCTACCTAAAAAGTGAAATGTTAAGTATTTAAAAGTATTAATATAGTGATAATTAAATACTGCAGGATGTAACGGGTGTTACAGAAACATGGGCTGGCTACCTAACTTGTGACGTCATCAGTGGGAGTTGCCTCACACAAATAATATCGGCGATACAATGCCTCCGTCCTCTTATTGGTCTACATTATTCAGTTAGATGGAAATGTCTGTCTTGTATAAAACAGACATTGTTTTTCTTTTGTACAACAACACCAAATTGTTGAGCAAAAGGACGTATTTCTTATTTTGCATTTTATTCATATAAGCGTTGGCATTCCCCGCAACAGCCAATCACAGGAAGGTATTTGCTGGAAACTCTGCCTTCAACAAAGTTTATTCCTAATGAACTCTAACAATAAATTTGTTTAATAAACGAGTATTTAGGGTCAAGCTACAGATGAACATTATAGCATAACGTTGTTTTAGCTTGCAGCTTCGTTAGACAGAATCCCTGGACTTAATTTTAAAAATAACTAGAAAACGTATTTTATTGCTAACTTTTCGAGAAATTTTCCGTTTCTGCCCGAAACGCTGCGCGTACTAGTGGCTTTACAAGATTGTAAATACTATGCTATGTATTCTCACAAACCCAATGTACCTTCTTCTATATAAATAAATAAATAAATAAGAAATAAATCCCAGCCTAGAAACATAGAGGTACGTAAGTACATAAGTACCAAACACATACCCATAAAGGTACCATACTCAGTCCCATATAAGTGTCATACATATGCCCATATAAGAACAATACATATGCCCATTGAGGTACCATACAAAAGCTCTTATAAGTAACATACATATGCCCAAAAAGGTACCATACTTATGCCCTTATAAGAACAATACATATGTTCTTATAAGTATCATACATATACCCTTATAACTACCATACATATGCCCTTATAAGTACCATAAATGCCCATATAAGTACCATTCATATGCCAATATAGGTACCATACAAATGCCTTTATAAGTAGCATACATATGCCCATATACGCACCATGCATAGTAGTCTCTAAATACATGAGGAATATAGATATAATGTTATTTTGATTATCCATTTATTATTTAGCTCATTTTGATTATTATTACATTTTTTAAAACTCATTTTCCTTAGTAATTTGTTGAGAAAACACGATGATATTTTTGATATTTGAGGTGGCTGTATCTCAGTAAATATGGCTGTATAGGCGTTAATATTTAAAATTAGCAAAGAAAGACTTTACAGAAAGAAAGGTAAATTGCTGTGGTAAACACAATGGTACCATTTTCAAAACGATTCTATGGCTGGTTTTGATTTTGAGTTTTGTGAAAAATGACGATTTCGCCAGGGCTGGGATTCTTTGCAGGCGGCGGGCTGTATGTACCCCATCTTTGTCTTCGTCCGCTGGTCAAGTTTTTATTACTTGATTTAATCATTGTCTATCTTCTATATCTATAAAATACGGATGACTGTCTGTGTAAGGTAAAAGGTACGTAAGTACCATAGAGGTACGTAAGTACATAAGTACCAAACACATACCCATAAAGGTACCATACTCAATCCCATATAAGTGTCATATATATGCCCATATAAGAACAATACATATGCCCATTGAGGTACCATACAAAAGCTCTTATAAGTAACATACATATGCCCAAAAAGGTACCATACTTATGCCCTTATAAGAACAATACATATGTTCTTATAAGTATCATACATATACCCTTATAACTACCATACATATGCCCTTATAAGTACCATAAATGCCCATATAAGTACCATTCATATGCCAATATAGGTACCATACAAATGCCTTTATAAGTAGCATACATATGCCCATATACGCACCATGCATAGTAGTCTCTAAATACATGAGGAATATAGATATAATGTTATTTTGATTATCCATTTATTATTTAGCTCAATTTGATCATTATTACATTTTTTACAATTGATTTTCCTTAGTAATTTGTTGAGAAAACACGATGATATTTTTGATATTTGAGGTGGCTGTATCTCAGTAAATATGGCTGTATAGGCGTTAATATTTAAAATTAGCAAAGAAAGACTTTATAGAAAGAAAGGTAA